ACGGTGAAAGCCAAAGCGGGAGAATAGAGGCCGGTGCGTATCGGTTGAGGCAGCATTGTTTTCATCGTTCATTTGGGAGATTTGCAAAACCCAATGCTTGCCCGGGATCGCATCGCTCGCAAATGCTACAGACTTGGGACCTAGCTGCAACATCTTCTCCGGCAGCCGATCAAACTTTCCGCTACCAGCGTACTGCAAGATATATCCAGCTGTGACCAGCACATAAATCTTCGGAGACCAGTCAGTCTTGCCGATGGTCTCAGACAAGGAGCGCATGTGCTTTTTCTTCTCTTTGGCCTCCTTCTTCCGAGTTGCTGGATTGTCTGCCTGGGATAATTCGTTCTGAGTGTTGCTTTTTTTCGCCGAGCATGTGGCCTGGATCCGCAAAATGGATTCCGCAGACAGAGAAGGGGTCGAAAGATTATCATGTTTGATTGCCTGTGGGTAGGCTTGGAATAGCGGGGGAGGTTTCCAGCCTATTTCACCCGCCGTTGACTTGTCCTCACTAGTTTTCTGGCGAGATTTTGAGGGTTTGGACCTAGGAGGGTCCGCTGCAGGCGAAGCCATAACTGTCGGCGTGGAGAACGCTGTTTTGGGTGTGGCTAATGCTGGTGAAAGAGGGGCGGCGAGATCTGGGGCAGCCTGTGTCGCAGGATCCTGCGCTTCCTCAATTTCAGAGAGCTTAGAATCGGTGCTCTCTTTGTGGGTTATTTTTTCACGGCTGAAGATGCTACGCAGGCCGGATTTAGAGGACTGCCGCTTGACTGGGGTCTGTAATGGAACACGATCGCCTGTCTCGCCATCATTCTGATACTCCTCCGGCCGTGGCCGATTGGGACGAGTTGCAACCACAGTCGGCCGGGCACTTGGGCGGCTGAAGTTGGTTTGTAACGGGGCTAGGGTTTGGCCTCTGCGCTCGCTGACCGATGATTTAGGCGGATCGGTGTTCACTGTCATTCTGCTGTCTTCGGTTGACAGCTATCCTTTTCTCGGGCCCTAGGGCTGATTGGGTATCGTGCGAATAGAAATGTGTTATAGTCCTCTTGTCATGCGCTCCAATGTCGCTGAACCACTGTTCAGATGAGGGAGGTAATTAGTAGAGAGTGTACGATTGGCTCAAACAGAGCGTGGTTGAAGGAATGACGAAATGAGCAGAAAGTGCGGTTCGAAGTAGGTCTTCTTTCTCCACAAAAGACGGTGGGATAATGGGCATTGCAGTATCGGATGGACCCACGGTGTCTACTAGATAGTGCATTGATCACCAATTGAAGAGAGTCAAAGAGATGTGGTATCAAATGGGAGTTGAAAGATCAATCCAAGAGCAAAAATGATCGTCTGACGGCCCGAAATCGTATCGTAATAGATAAATGAAGGAAATTGAGTGAGGGGTCGCTACAATAAATCAATGGGTAATCTGACTACTCTATCGACTGGACCGAAGCCATGGTCTTCCAAAAGCGCTCTAATTATGGTAAGTGAGTGTCAAGAAAAGAAGATGGGAAAGGTCGAGTGTGGGAGGAGAGAAGAGGAAGAGGTCTTGTCGAAAAGACCAGGTCTGGATGGGCGATGAGAATCCAGCCGCAACGGAATCATGACCAATTTTTTTTTATTTTTATTTTTTTTTCCTTTGTGTTAAAAATTAAACCGGACGGACGTACCAATGCACACTAGTCTGTGGCTAAGGAAGCTGCTGCCTTAGTCGCGGCGGTGATAGTGTTGGCGATGAGCAGACCTGAAACACAGTAGACTAGCAAGCGAAACTGGGAGTGGAGAGAGGAAGCGTTCTGAGACAAGGGGATTGAAATCGAAGCACAGATTTCATTGCGATCTGGATTTCTGATCGGGCGCGTAGTTCAGCGTTGAGTCCATGCCAAAACGTCTTCGACCCAGATGACGAAAACGCCCGTCGTCCGTACGGAGTAAATATTCTCCCAAGCCCCAACACACTGAAAGATGAGAATACCCCTGAAATTCAGCCCCTCGAAGGTCTCCACCTTGGGTAACGGTTTTCCGCTGATTGGGCCGAGGATAGTTGAAATGGGAATGGAATCATCGCTAGCGGGTTAGTTCAACGATAGTCAGCCTGGACACACAGTGTCGCGGTCGATCGCTGTCAGAACAGGGTCCCGTGTGGCGTACCTGTAGATCTCGACCGCGAGTGTCTTACTCTCACAATTGAGGGCAGTTTCAACTCGTATTGTCTCGGAGAAGGAATCGAGAATGGTGCGATTATTTTTGGATGATAAGCTTGGCTTTTTCTTTTTTTGGGTTTTCAACCTTATTTGTCACGCGGGCATGAGACCCGCGTTTATGCACGTCAAGAGGTTTGTGCGGCTGACTAATTATCCCCCTGAACGAGGAACTTAGTGATGATCCCTTACCGTTTTGGGTCTTGGACTCGGTAAACTCCAATCTGATCTAGTGGTGTAATTAAAGGTCGTTAAGACTTACATAGGTTTAATAAGATGAAAGTCTTAGACTCACGGTCCGTGTTTTTAGCCCGGTTCCTCGGTTCCGCCCTGTGGGGAGTTGGAGAAAGAAAAATGGACAAGTGGGTGTCATACTCGCAACATTTACTCCATATTATCGACCACTGATACTTACCACCAATCGTATAGTTCCAACATGAATTACAAAAGAAAAATAAAACATCATCTGTAGTGCTATCATGGTGATTCATGATTCATCCAAAATTGACTCCTCACATACTCACACCGCAAATATCCTCATTCGCAACCTCATACGTGTCCTCTATATATCACCAAACTTGTAGATCGCGGGTAGAAACGCCTACATACGCCGGAGTATGGTAGCTCCCCTAAACCTTTGCCTTCTTTATGATATTACTCTTGAAGTTGGAATTTTTCATAACCACACCTTAATGTAACTATGATAGGCCCGAAAATTTCCTCTTTCATTCTGTAGTACTGACAATACTAGTATCGGCGCACCCCCTGAATGACTATTTCGTCGGTGCCATCAGACATATCATCTCCGGCGTTACTCAGGAAAGTTAGTTCTCATGTAAGCTGAAGAGTCATCCGTGCCCAAAGAAGTACTCCTCTATTTATACCAGTACATTTTGATATACAGCTTGCTCATGAGAGGACTAAACACAGAGTAACCTGAGCAAACGAGGCGTGCCTTTTCTACTGTATATTCAATTCAGGTTTCGACCATGTGCGGCTTCGGTGAGTCCTACACTAACAACGCTCGAAATAGGCAATCTCAAAGAGTGACATTCACATACCCATAAAGCGGTAAAGGCAGGTCATCTGACATGCACGAGTTTAGGGTGTGACACAGCCTACTGTGTTCATAGCTCAGGTAACAGAAGGATTCTCTCGATCAAAAGCTCTCCCCCGAGAGCTCCTCGCTTAAACTCCAGAGCCGATCAGCTAGTACGGGATCCCTAGCGTACTCTCGTGCTTCACAAACTTGGCAATCTTCCATATAAGCGCCACTCGCGTCCGTCAACTCTGGGGATAATGCTGCTACCAGCGTGGTAGAAATGCCCTGTTCCAGAGACTTCGGCGGCTCTCGACCAAACGGGAATCCAGTGTTCCTGCGGGATACTTCATCCATGGGACCAAGGTCGGGGCCGTGAGAGAAAAGGGAAGTCCCCGGAACATCTACACCAGAGTCAGTTTAGCCTAATCGGAACAGCACAGAAGAAGATGAGTAACTGACAGCCAGGGTGGGCCGCGTATGACAATATGCCGTGCTTCTTATAACGCTGTGCCAAGCCAACCGTGAAGAGGATATTCGCTGTCTTGGATTGTCCGTATGCGCTCAACGGGTGATACGTTTGGCCGTCCTGGAATAGTCAGTTTCCACCTCATCAGTACTTAGGCAAATCAGGATCGAGAGTCTGGTACCGAGAAATTCCAGTCATCGAAGAAAAACGGCGCCAAGCGGTAAGCTGCACTGGTGACATTGACGATGCGAGATCCAGGGCCAGCGGCAAGTATAGACGGCATCAGCAGTTTAGTAAGGAGGAAATGCCCGAGATGGTTAATGCCAAGGGTCTTTTCCAAACCATTTTTACTCTTGCTCCAGGGGATAGCCATGACGCCAGCATTGTTTATCAGCACATCAATCTTAGAGGTAATGCTAAGAACATCTGCTGCGGCCCGACGAACGGAGTCAAGGTCGTCAAGTTCGATGTGCACAAAAGCAGGCTGAGTCCCAGGACTGATCTCTTTGATTGAAGAGATGACATTACGCACCTTGCTCTCTGTGCGAGCAAGTAAAACTAAATGAGAAGGCCGTGCCGATGCCAGAGCAAAAGCAGTAGCACCTCCGAGGCCGCCCTCACTGGCACCGGTAATGACAGCTGGCTCTCAATCAGCATGGCCCTAGGATACGATGTTGTGGTACCTACCGACTTTTCCTTCAACCAGGCTTCCCCATCTCTCAACCACTGACTTGCCTTCAGTATCAAAATCAAAACCAGACATGGCTAAGTGCACTATAGGAGCGTTGCAACGGGAGGTGTGATCTCCTTGGTGACTTCCCGACTAACGACAATGTACGGGAAGTCCGTCAGATATGTCATTGTACTTATAGCCGTGGAATGAGCTGCAGCCTCGACTTCACGCATTGATCATTCAACATGAAATGACACAGGCTTCCTCTTCCAAAGCTGTATAACATTTGAGCGGCCAATGAACCGGGCAGACTCTTGCCGCCCAGTCCGCGCGATGATCGGGAGAGACTAAATGATTACTCCGTACTCCGTACAACTCCACAATTTAATCCACAGGATAACCCCGAGTCAGGGGCCAAGGTGAGTGGTGGTAACTGTACTACGTATAGTGGCCAATAATTCAGCGCTATTGAAGCGGTGGAGGCTCCACGCGCAAGTGATTACCGATGGTTTCTATCCCGCAACGAATGCCCTCATGCATATTTCCATACGAAAGAAGGAAAAGAGGGCGCATAGTACAAACAGACAAGGCACTAGGATCTAAGCCACGGGTGTAACTTCGAATCATCCCATGCGGTTAAGCGTAGCAAGGGATGCGGCTGCCCCCAAATCCGATGTCGATTCGAAGGACTATTGGTACGGCACTACGGAGCGAGTAGAGCGATGGCGACGCCATAGTAGATTGAACCAGGGGCTGTACCGTAAGTGATAGCTTCATTGGCTATCAAGGCTCCTACACTAATGAATGAGAAGAGCAGCACAGACGCCATGGGGGCACAGCATTCGTCAAGAAGACGGACCAACCACCTGAGCCGGCACGCGAGCGACAAATATTTGAGGATCTGGCAGCAGCTGCGTACCATAGCTATATTCTAGGCTGCCCTATTGTTGACCAATTACTGTCCCTCCCTAGAATAAATGTATACCGTGCGTTTATAAACAACATCAGCTTACTTGGACTGTTTACGGGTAGCCTCTGTGAGACAGATATTGTGTCACCTTTCAACCAAGCAGGACCGACACCACCCATGGTGAAATCGCTTCCTTTCTTTGCCCGTCAGGCACACAACGCTCTTGTCACCATCATCTATGGCTCGATTCCTTTCCGCAACCTCAAGTGCGAGATAATCTTATCCGTGCCCAGGAAAGATACGACGAAGACGAGCTCTGCTCTGGAACCCAAACGCAACTGACAATATGCTGCTGGTCTGAGGCGAACCATCTGATCCGCGGAACTGGCAAGTGACCGAAAGTTTTATAAAGAAATGAGAATGGGTCATCCATGGCTACCCAGAGATTCTAGAGTATACCAATAAATATAAGCTCAAAGAGGGGAGAATCTCATCTTTCGCTACTCATAAGGAAGCCACTGTATAAGCGTCAAAAGGACTGAGACCTGACTCACAGCAACTCAACGACTTTCAGTGCCAATATACAACGAGGCTTTATCTATCAATGCCAGCATGTCCAAGCCACTCTCTAGCACAATAGTACCCCAAGTAACTTTCCAAACCATGCGACATCATGCACCCTATATACTTCAGAACAGACCAATCACGTGAGGAACCCTAAAAGCGGCAAGCCCCCATAAACGCGGAGATGGTCCGTTCACCGGCAGAATAAAGCGACACAACAGCTAAGCTAAGCTCTATACAATTGTCCGCCAGTTCATCAATCTCCACAACAAACATGAACACCGTGTCCAGGGCGCTACAACGCCCCAGTCGCTCACTGACATCGCAACTCCGTCGATCAACCCGCCAACACCACCACCGACCTTTCCTGTCCCCGGTCGCCACTTCTCACCAGACTCTCCGCTCCGCATCGCCATCTCTTCTCCGCCATCCAGCAACACCTTCGCAAGCGCACCGAACGTTCTCGCACAGCGCAACAGCCATGGCCGCAGCACCGAAATTCGCCCGAGGCGTAGATGGAACACAATTGCAACCGGAGCTGGACTCGTTACTGGGGCAAGGGTGGACGCTGGATGAGGATGGAATGGGGGTGAAGAAGACATACTACTTCAAGACGTATTTCAAGGCGGTGGTATGTCCATTTGCCCTTCTTCCTTTCCCCAACAAGTTCTACTTGACTATACACATTTACCGCTTTCGTTAATATGTCTACCATACACCCAAAGCTAACACCCCAACCCAACAACAGAGCTTCGTCAACGTCGTCGCATCGCAAAGCGCAACCAAGAAACACCACCCTACCATCACAGTCGTGAGTGTCCCCCAACTCCAACCAAACCAAAACAACCCTAACAAAAGAGTAAATAGCGAATCGGCTCGGTCGACGTCCACTGGACAACACACCAGCCGCGCGGTCTAACGGACAAAGACCTGACGATGGCGCAACACTGCGACGAGGCAGCGGAGTTAATGGGCGCCGTGGAAAAGGAACAGGGGAAGAAATGCGGTCCTTCTTCACCGACTCCGTCGTCGCCGGGAGTATAGTCGCAAACGGAATTTATATAGAACATAATCAATCGCTGTATACGTATATCTAGTATCCATTCAGCATATATCCCTCGGTGTAGGGTGGCGTTATCTAGATCATTCGGGGATATACCTGCATCCAACTTAGTTCCATACTCTCCTGCATATGATATACCTATATACAGTACATGAAAACATACACAAGACGGCGCCGTGTAACGACGGACGAAGGGTCTCGACTCGTCCATTCTTGAGTCAGTACCTCCCAGCTTCCTTCAACACAACCAAATCACATGTCGACGCCAAAGAATCCGCCAACAAATCTAGAACTCTCCCCAAGAACCTTTCACCCTTCTACCTTCCCAGATCCAGACATCCCCCATTCCTTCACTCGCTACCCAAGAATGATGCCGAGCCATGCAGTTCCATATAGTCATCCATAGCATAACATACCCAGCAGAGATACCCAAGCACAAACCAAATACCACCACACCAGATAAAAAAACAACAGATAAACAAACCAGGAGTCAATGAGGTCATGAAGTCATGAAGTCATGCCCCACTCCTATTACTCAAGTGCCCGAAACGGCCAACAAACAACCTTAAGCTTATCTAGGTAGGATCTGAGGCTACACGCGAGTCAGGAATAGAGTTCCGAGGGGTAGTACTGGACCTCCCCCTGTGGTACCTGGTTTGGTTGGAAAGGGAGCTGTGGGGATTTAGCTAGCGGGTTGTCGGGTTGAGGGCCCGGATACGAGAAGGAACTCAATTCGAACGGTTCCCTGATGCGGCGATTCGGCAGGATCATGGAGTCATGCCATGATGGACGCTTTAAGGATGAGCGCTCAAGGGGTCCCCGCCCCCACAGATCGGTACCAATATCCCCCCTCCCCCTCGCTTCACCCCGCTGGACACATGTGGAATGGATCCTGATCATCCCGTAAAACATGCCGTATCACGGCATAACGCTGGCTCGGGTGGATGATATGGTATCTACTTCCCGCGGAGGGTTACATTGACTTGACACGAAACGGCCAGTGGCACCCCAGTCATCACGTTCGCTACGAATCTGGATAAGCAAAGCCGGTAGTTAAATGTTTGAGTTTGTATTATGCTACAGCCTCTTCGACACGTCGCCGGAAGTAGCAATTGAAGAAACCGTGGTTGGGAATCAAAATGCAATACATACACAAGAACAGAGAATGGAAGAAACAGAGGCTTGGGAGATAACAAGATTAAACAAGAAATTAAAACCTATTGACGTGCAATCAGGCGTACGTTCGCTCGGACGCACATGTCAAGCTTGAACACCCGTTATGCAACACAGATGTACCCGTTCGTGATACTCCAACGTACATACATCTGCACCCCCAGTAGAATCCCCCATGAATGTGAAACCAAAAAAGAACCTCAGAGAAACATGAAGTAGAGAAGAGAATAAAGTATGTTTTTGAGAAGATCCGCTACCCTGCCAAGCCACAAAAGGACCCTGGACGTAACCAAGACAAGGGTCACCGCATGTCGGTCATTGGCGGAAAGTAACCTTCGTCAGTCGTTTCCGTAACATCGTCATCATACAACTCAATCGGCCCCGGGCCAATGTCGTAGAGATGTCGAGATGTACTCATCTATTGATTAACACTGTTCCGGCGGGAGTTGACGCGGGAATTCACCCGGGAGTTGGCATGCGAAGCAGGGCGGGACCCAATGTAGCTGCCCTGACGGCTCCCAAGGTTTTGACGGATGCGCAAGTTCTGCTGGGACCGAGCAAAGGAGTTCGCCCGGGACCCAGAGGGGATCTTCGAAAGCCGGCGCCCGTGGGTTTGCATTTCGACGCGGGCATCAGACAATTGCTGGGCGAAGGGCGAGCGCTTGCGCAATGTTGGTCCGTACCAATAGATCACATAGACCGCAATCACAAGCACGAATGAGATGCAGAACAGAATCGTAGATGCGTACTCCAGATGGTATTTCCCGCCAATATCTGAACACTCTTAATTAGCGCTTGCTGTATTTCCAGCCAATTTTCGTCAGTCACTTACTCTGATAAAATGGAGTAGCAGGGATGGTAAGAACACCAGCGAGGAAGTCTCTCGCCCATCCATTGCCACCCGTCGCAGAGGCCGAGTACGGACCGTATGCGCAGACCATGTAGTCAATAGTCGCCATGTAGATACTGTAGTTAGCAATACCGACGATCGCCGAGAAAACCATAGTTCCAATCCAGTGCGTCTGGGGCAGACTGGTCCATGCGAAGCCAATCAAACCAATGGGCAGGCAGGGAGCAGTATACAACAACCACCAGAGTCGGGATTCGTATTGGGTATGCTCGTCATCTGGCCTCATCCGCCGTTCATAGACGTTTCTCCTGATCGCGGGGACAAAGGAAGCCCATGCAATGAAATAACCCACGAGAATCGGAAGGAATGAGAGACCCAAAGCCACGGTGCTGAAGTTCCATTGCGCATACACGAGACCGAAGGATTGAATGAACATGAAGATCAGGGCATCACTGAACCCACTCAAAAGAGAGAGGCAGAGGACGATCGGCTCAGTCAAGAACATCTTGAATGGACGGACCCAGGTGATCAAGATTTCCCTCATGGAGAAACGCTCCCTGTAGGGGATGAGTTCGTTGGGTCCGTAGAGGTTAGGGTTTTCGCCGCTCTCTCTCTTCTTCTTGGCAATCCGGTCCATCAGAATCGTAGTCCGGGTCTCGGGGACGAGGAAGAAATGGGCAATTTGAACAAATCCTCCAAAAATGAGCTGGATCCAGATGTTCCAGCGCCACGGCAGGTATGCTTCAACAAAGCCACCCACCACTGGTCCAAGAACAGATCCACCGACAGAAGAGAAGACCACACAGGCTACAGCGTATTGCTGATCATCGGCTTCCCACAGATCTGCAATCATACCGAGCGTGACCGATCCTCCGGCGGAGCTGAGACCACCTAGTGCACGACCAACCATGATAGAGGCGAAATTCGGGGCGAGTGCAACCGGGAGTTGCCAGATATTGACCAAGAATAAACTCGCCTGGAGAATCGGTTTGCGACCCAGTTCCTCACTCCACGGAGCCCACAGCTCGCAACCAAACGCATAGAGCACAAGGAAGATCATCGCTCCACAACGAGCAGCCTGCATACTCACGCCAAATTCCTCCGAAATACCCCCCAGCGCATTGGAATACAAACTGGTGTTAAAATTCATAGAAACCTGGACAAGAAAGATGACTGAGATGATCATCCATTTTCTCCAGCTTGGGAAAGAGTAGCCTAGCTGATCGTAGCAGTCTTCTTCTGTTAACTCGATCTTTCCCCCGTCCAAGGCAGTGTTTTCCAGCTGATGGAAGGTGGTTCCAGCAGCCGCAGGGTCATTGGCCAAACCCAGTTGGGGTTTGTGCAGCTCAGCCTCTTTTCCACCGAGGTCATATACTCCATCGGCCTGAGACGAGGAAGAAGCTCCCGACTCATGAAGCTTCTCGTCCCGATTTATGGCCTGGTCCGAAAGAGGGGCCATATTTGATCCTATAAATCGTTGGTTAGAAACTCTGGGGGAGAGCAAAGACGTAGTATCCTGGAGATATGGAAGTTCAAACCGAGTGAGGGAGTCCACAGAAGATAAAAGTGATAACCGGAGATGTATAGAAGAAGTGAGACTTACAGAGTAGGCAGTAGCGATCTTCCCAATACAGTGTTAAGTGGTGTGTATGTAGGTTCAAGTGTTTCGAAGTGGAGGTAAGTGGAGAGTTGTACCACGAAAGAAGATAAGAAGTTATATAGACGTATGAAAACGGAGGGGGAGGTTGAAGTAGGAAAGAGGAGATGAAAAGGTGGGAGGGGAGGAGAGGATATAGAAATAGAAAAAATAAAAAGGGAAAAAAAAAGAAAAAGACCGAGAGAGAAAAAGCAGTGACAGAAAAGGAAAAGATGCAGCTCAATCAGGTAGTCACCCAGAAAGGGAAAGTATGGGGGAACACTGAACAGGCCTGAGGAACCAAGTGGAAATACTACCTCAACCCAAACCTACCAGATAGAAAGTATTCTCTGTACCTCGCACTGTCTGTTGGGTTCATCCACCTATCCTTGCCTTTTTTATTTCCTTTTTTACTTTTTTTTCTATACCTACGAGACCAATGAGAAGATAATCTCTCGTGAGGAAATTTATTCCATGCAGGTGAGAGAAAGAAAACGAAATGCGTGCTTTTTCTTCTACTCATAACACTCTTTTGTTCTATTTTATTTTAATTTTTTAATTTTAATTTTTCCCTCTTTATGTATTGAAAATTGATCATCCACTGATTTCATAGCCCAAATTCGTCTTTCAACGGGAAACTCGACCGCATGGGTCATGCATCAAGGAAGAACCTCCTTGACTATGGTTGGCCCATGGTTGCAGAACAGGACCGAATCAGGAAGACGGGCTGCATTCCACTTGGACTCCAATGTCATCCACTTGCCACGCCGGCCGAAGTCTGTCGTCCAAGCTGCGAGATCTGACTTCCCCCGGACATTGCACTAGTCGGAGGCGGATACCCCCTACATCATGGGCGCATACTAACCTGACTGGCGGCCAACAGCGACCGCCCCCACGGGTATGGTAAAAAAACATCCCGCAACAGGGTAAAATCTGAGGCTGGTGGTTTCGGTACCTCCACCTTAGCGCAAATGGGGTATCCAGCAACCATTACTGGAAGCGTTTTGGGCCGGGGGAGTCGAGGAATGCCCGCTTCGGGAAACAAGTGAACAGTGGCACGGGACTGTGAGAGTCCCACATCAGACACACAGTATTACTTATGCAGGCTATACGAACGGCAACGCTCATTTCTCATAGTATTTTCATGATTAAGATTCTGCGGGATTTAATTATAGGATACTATAAAGTAAGCCGAAAGAGATCATGCTAAATCGCGATGACAAGGTTGTGATCCATGAGATTAGGGTTGGGTTGGTCATGGCCCGATGTAAGGGAGTCGGCATCAGCAACCACGAGTTGCGTGGCTTCCCGATGGGCGGTCGGTATTAAACCGAATTTATGTATTTGGGGGATCGGGATGATAAGCAACCATGAAAAGGTATTTGGTAACTCCTCGTATTTGATGGGGAGAATTTTCCTGCTCATTACATTGCAATGAGCAAAATAAATGGAGCCATTCCCTGTAATGAAGGTCCACTCATATTGGGCCCAGTTTTTTCTCCCTCTCCTCTTGTCCCATGGGGGTTTCTTGGATTCGGGATAACCGTGAAATGACGTCAATCGGTTTTCTCCGGCCTTCCGTCCAGTACATTTTTGCTCTCTGAGGAAGTTGATCATCGTCCAGGGGCCCAAAAAAAAGTCTACTCGTACAGGAGACAAAAGGAAATGGAAGATGGTTTGCCTGATGTGCGTAATACTGCCCTGCAACTATGATGGAAGTGGATTATTCTAGAAACCCATATCGAAGCCTGTCATGGAAAATTTTCGCCCCAGTTTCTTTGTCCCTTTATAATCTATCGTATGTCCAGTTTCTTCATTACTCGGGCGCTCTTCTCTACCCTTAAATCATAAATTTGTTGGATAGTGGGGTTCCAGTAGTCAACGTACCAAGCAACGTCTCAGGTAGTCAAAACAAACACCGCACGGATTTTGGATAATCCTGATGATGATCCTGAGGCGTGACTTACTATGTAATTATACCGTAAGCGAACAAACAATGCACCGAGCATTATGCTGTGTAATCATCATTGCCACATAGCGGTTATCTCGTCATACGTTACCATCATAGCAGCCAGGTTACGACGGGCGGTATCAACCGCCACATACGTCGATGCAGCGAATAGACACAAAGTAGCATCTGAGATACACTCACTGGAAGAATAATCTGATCGGCGTAGTCACTATACATGCAGCTTATAAAAGTCGCGTGACATCCGATCGACTTCATGTATACTCAGGGTGTACTGCGCAGTATTCGTACATCGTTTTCCATTCACATTAGTCATGGGTACGATTTCGGTGAGAACAAGCATAGCCAGCCAAGGATTCCGGGTAACCTGGGCGCTATGATCCAAGCTAAGGCAAATAAGCGGCCTCTGTTCGGTCAGCCAAGGCCGGATGCCAAGTGATCCCATGGAAGAGCTAGTCCTTTTCCCCTGGCTGGGCAGGGCCGAAGGAAAGTTTGCGGCTTTAATGAGTGAAAACAGAGTTGCGTAGCGGTTCGAGAATGAATCCTATCGCTTCGACATATTCGTATAATCTTCGACTGTATTGTTCCCTCAGCTTCTAGAATTCTCATAGAAGAGTGCCCGACACGGCACGGGCGATGCTGATCAGACTCGGCTCCTGCACAGGACAACTTTATCCATCATGGACACCTGGTTCTGAGTCCTTATTTGTAGAAAGTTCATGTACATTCCAATGCATCACGTGGGACGCCTCCAGGCATGACAGTTTGGTTGATTCAGGCTCCAAGGTTGAATGATCGACGCTTTCATCCGGCTGTTTTCGGGATTTAATTGGCAGATTGCCTATTCCAGTCTCGGCCTAGACTCGGGCTCGTGACCCGTTACCGTTCGAAACGGGCTTGACCGCCTGCCGCATGGGCACTCCGCCTTTCCAACTGCATCCACTTGGCATCAGTGTTGTTTCTGTTACTTCGATTATTGACAGTATCTTGGTTCCTGACAACTCGGTCGATACTCTGTTCTCAGGCAAAAGCCTATAGCTTGAATCTTTATTCCCTCGATCGCCTTCTTCTATCGGCCTGTTGGAGGAGAATGTGCCCCGATATCAACTCGCTGTCCCCGTCGCGTTCCTCTTCTGCCTCCCCGCGTCAAGTACGGAATCTCCCCACTTCTTCTGACAGCCAGCAGCATTCTTCATCCGGGTTCTCCCCTGCATCGGCCACCATGAGTAATAACAACAACAATAATAATCAGAACAGCCATCACCATACCCCGGAGGTCCCTCGTCGGTCATCCCGCAGCTCTCGTGCGGGCGTGCCGGGCTCAGAGCGCCGCCGGTCCGCTGCCGGTGCCAACTTTAACCTGAATAATAATGAGCCGACTGGAGACTCCATGGCCCCGTCCGACCACCGCTCCTCGCTAGGTCCTCATGGGCTTCGGACGTCTAGCCCATCGAGCCTCGGAGGCAGCCCGATTATTGCGACCGGGGACCCGCATCACCAACGTGCCCCCTCGTTGGGTGAGCTGCATCAAGAACTGGAGCAGGAACAAGAAGCCCAAGTGGTATGATCCCGACTGACACCATATCATTTCCGTGGCGGTTAAAATTGCCACCCCCTTGTCGATACATGACAACTAATCTGGATCCCGGTCAGAACCGACTCTTGCATATGATCCGAACCCAACAAACTCAACTGCAGCAATTACAGCAGCAGCAACAACAACAGCAGGGTTCCCAGGGCACGGCCATCGACGATTCGGACCGCTCTGCGTTTCCTACTATCCCACCCGTCTCGGCTAGCGGCAGTCGAACATCAACTCAATTTCCCTCATCGCTGTCCAGCCGCCGACCCTCACGGCCGTCGAGCCAGGCGGCGTCGCCTAGTCTCCGACCGCTGTCCGATGCACCCCGCGGGCCGGAGGGGCCAGAGTGGATCGCGGGCACCATTGAGAGCCCGGCACGACGGAGCAGCCGCGACGAAGGTGCGTTCTACCAGGCCGAAGCCACAATGCTTGCGAGAGAGAACCAAATTTTGCGACAGCGCATCCGGGACTTAGGTGAGTGGTTTTTTCTCTAAAGTTTTTACTAGTTATGTTTCATACCCACCAGGACCTGGTTAACCAGAGGACAAAGAACGCCAGGTGAGTGAGTTGACCACATCGCCCACTGGAGGTGGTGTGCGGTCGGGCGAGATCGCCGCAGCTCCTGCCACAGAAGGCGGCACGACTGCCGATCCCCATGCAACTGTTGGAGTCAGATCGACCAGTGAGCCCACGGATAAGACCTGATTGGACAAATGCAATGCCTACATTCGAGGACGGAGTATTTTACAGTGTGCTTCTCCAGATTTCAGGACGATCAATACGGAGTACATATCTCTTACAGCGGGCAACCGCAGTTCAAGGTTATATGCATTGTCTACCTTTATGAGCCGGTTCCCGCTTTTGGTCGTATGTGTGCCATCTCAAGTTTCTATACGAACCAGCGATCCGAGCGCGAGCCTGCAGCCGCCCTGCCGGATATTCAACAATCATCACACCTAATAACATTAAGTCGAGGGTACAATTTCTGGCTGTAGGGCTAGGAGGCCCCTATCTTGAGGCGTCAGCATTGGTGGCTTACACCGAGACACTATTGTATTGTGCATATTGGGCGCCCAATATAACCAAAGCCGTTATAAGAGGCGTTTGCTAATTTAGTAATCACAACTCCTTTCTTTCTATTCTCGTATCGTATCCCTTCTTTACCACAGAACTACACCGATTATTAAGAGGCGCAACGATCCGAACCGGGCAAAGGTCGAGGATAAAAAAAAAGAAATTGCCTGTAATCTCCACCAAATGTGAATGCCTCATATTCTTGAAGACACAACATCTTCCCAACCCCGAGGATGAAAATTTCTCTCACATACACCATAGGCTCTCAACATACACCACATTTCTCTACATCGAATTTCTACACACTATTAACTCTACCCCTTGCCTACAATCATAGTTACACCTCCTTAGCTCCATCATGAAGCCCAGGCCCCAGATGTTTAACCATGATCCTCAGATATTTTCCAACTGCAGTTACACTACAATGACCCTTTACAAATTACTATACCTTTTTACACCTGGTCTCTCTCTAAATAGTAACATTTCCTCAATGAACAACAAGATACTTTTCTTTAGGTATCGCGAGGCACTCTCTGTCAAGAAAACACATGGTCGCCCCAACGTTGGTGTTAGAAAGCAAACTGGCACACACACACACACACACACAACAATACGGCACCATTACTAAAAATTCATCTGAGCATTGCCCTCAATTAGATTTCCCCCTACTCTCTCCCGTCCTACCTTCCAGTAGCACGCTTGATCTATCATTTCTTCGTCTGGCTATCTGTAGTCTTTATACTTTTGTCCACGACATGTCTTTTTCTCGGACCACCCCCGTACCATCATCTATGTACACATATTCCTACAACATATCCATTCACATGCCGACTACACACAGCACGTCTCTTCAGAGACGGACACTTCCGAACAGTACAGTACATACCAGACATGGTCACATCTATACATGGCAGCTGAAAGATCTAACATTCTCGGCTCATTCAGACGTCATGTTTCACGACGAGTCTGAAGGATACACACTAACACAGAGCACAATCACCCGGTACGCCGAACCCCGGTGCCTAAAACAAGGCGTAGACTACTTCGATTGCCTCAGCGCACTTGCACTCGGACAAGCTGATCTACATTGAGGGTGCAATGTCTCATAAGATCCAATCCCTCATTGCCCTACAACCAGGAGTTCTCCCGATGCCCTGAAATGTTGAGTCCGCTCATTAGATACAGTATCATTCTTCTAGCAATGCATGAAAGTCGCTGCGGTGCCGGTAGATTGGGGACAGCCGTGATCTAGTTCGGCGTTTCTTTCTATGTATGGCCTCACTCTAGGTCTTCTAGAGGTATGCTCCTGGAAAACTTCTGCATAGCCAGGCGATCTAGTTCATTCCTCAAGAACTTACAGGATGACATCGACATCTCCAAGGCTTAGCCAAACCTTTATCTTAATTAGTTAGTCTGTAATATCGGTAGGGTAAGATAATACCTTCAGTGAGGAAGGGAAGACCGTAATCACTTGCGGAAAGTAAATCTCTGTAGCAACGGCTTTAGACCTTGCGCAGTGTCTCGCTGTGACGGGGGGGGTGCTTCCACTCCTCAGCCCAAAAATAGAAGGAATTTGGAAACCCGACATTAATTATTAATACTTAACCTTAGCAGTTAACCGACCCAAATAGTTTCCGCCGAGGAGACAGGAGACAAGCACCTCGGGAGGAACGCGAACTTCTTGATTGGCTTTACTGTTCATTATCCAGCATCAAATGGCCATAATTTGTCCGCCTTTGCCACAGTCAGACTATCGCCACGAGACTGGGATTCCCTGACCGTCTGGATCCATTCACCATACGCCGCGCGATGGGCATCTCTCGCAGCATCCCATAATTCATTCGGAACCCAGCCATCCGAATTTGTATTGAGGGAGTTTCTAAGCCATAGTTTGAGTGTTTGAATGGTCTCAAAGTCTTCATAGTCTCGAGCGTGCTCCCTGAGTTCTTCTTCAGTCGGAGAAAATGGGCATGAGCCTTGCAGTCCCAGTTCTGTCCAGCGAGCTGAAAGCTCAATTAACTCTTGGCGGATAGCCATGGCGCTGTCCCTCCATGTCGTATGGCAATATTGGAGAACTCCAAGCAAGGTCGGATCAAGTAACCTCGCGGGGCGTAGTTTAGGAGCGAGGCCCTTCATGCAAACATCATATGTCTGGTAACAGATTGATGCGTCTTTCCATTCCTGTTCGTTATGGCCAGAGGCTCTGTGCTTATCGACTCCGTTCTCGAGCGTGTTTCCCTCTGGCTCCTCTGGCAGTGCAGCAAAATCAGGGGTCTCATTGGCATAAATGAACGCAGGCTCAATGCTTGTTGACTGCCAATCAAGCACACCAGTAATGAGAGTTGAATCCTCGGCTGAGACATAGACATTCCTTTTGTGGAAATCAGGGTGAAGCAGAGCTGGGGTAGCGGCATCCTGAATACGCGTATCTTTAGCCAATTTTTGCATCACTTCTAGGCTTGTTTTCAAAAGACTTATGTGGTGTTGAATTTGATCCTTGGTGAGGGAGTAATTCGTGATTGACAGGATCTTTCTTCGGTAACCGAGAGAAACCGGTCTCTATCAAGCCTAAAGCATAGCTTGTGAGGTCTTTCTCTAAATTTGCATCTGTCGCGTTAGAACTGTTTATTGAGGTAGAGAATTGTGAAACTGAGAATGGCCACAGTTGGAACTCGGACCACCATAAAGCTCAAGTTCCCCCGGACTCCGATTCCAGAAAACTGGACTGCAGTGTGGACCAATGCAGAAGCCCGGCTCGAAAGGAACCCTTCGCGTTCGGCTCTAGTGGTCCATTTGAGAAGTATAGACTGCCATAGGCCGGGAAGTCTAAGGATGCCATGTCTCTTATCGCCAATGAAAGCGTCTTGGTGCATAGCATATGTTGTTCCGAGTTCATTTCGGACCACATCTGGTGCAGCTGAACACCCACAGCATGCTCCTGGATGATATATTCTGTGCCGATTGGATTTGATGGATTATCGTTCCAGTCTAAGATTTTCGGTATCGGAAGTGAGATCTACACAAGCAACACCAATAAGTGAGCATATCAACTGCATCCCCAAGAAGGAGGCATGTAGGTCAGCCTTATAATATGTTATTGTTGCGACTTCAGAGTTGGTCTTTAACCTTGGTGGGTCGGCGATACTGGTGGGTAGTTTCGCCACGACACAAGAGCCTGTGTCCATAGTAAGAAGAAAGACTCTATTGAATCTGCCTTCTCTCTTTTCACATTTAATGATCTTGGTTGCTTTTGGGCATAGACTGATAGCTTTATCACAAAGCGCTGAGAAGTCGAAAACAATGTGGCGAGAGCTTCGTTCGAGTTCATCCCGATTAAGCCATCTTCCACTAGTGTAGCTATAGAGATCATGCACTACAAACCGAGTCAGCGCCATGGAACTCTGAGTAAACAATGGTACTGACGTGGAACCGCTTCTTCCGAATTTACCCTTGGGGTTAAACGGTTAGGTAAGGGATGCGGCGGCATCGTGCTGAATTTGCTTTTCATGTTAGACAATTTTTGCTGGAAAGAAAAGGCAGGTCGACAATGCTGGGTGGTTGGTGAACAAAGCACCGAACGCTGCCAAAATCGGAGCATCCTCAGGCACCAAGTCGTTGTTTTCCAAGTTGTCACCCATGAGTTCGACAGGGCGCTTAAGTATCTTTGCCTACCATCCGGAGGCGGTGTGGGGAGAACTGAGTCAACGTTGGTATAGTAGCTATAAGAAAACAATGGTACTAAAACCAATGCCTGGAGGATCACCCCAATCAATCTCATATATTTTATTTTCTCTCCCATACGAAGTAGGTATACAAACGAAAACATTGAGTGGTTAACCTGGGGAAGGGGACAAAAAAGCAAACTTGGAATTCGCGTTGCAAAGTAATGTTTAATTCGCTGATGATGAGATGGATACAACCGCAAGGGTCAACATAGGACAGATGATAGTAAAATGGATTGTATGGAGCTCTACTCTATAACCAAGAGGATGTTATTGCTCTGTATTTGTATTCAACACAAGTGGTGTCTTATCTTAAGATAGCCAATATCATCCACTCAAGAGCACGTCGGAGGCTTCCACATAGCCTGCTTCATCATGTCCTTGAGCTTCGCGCCGTCGATACGGTTCACATAGGTGATGTTGCGCACGCCCGGTGGCTTAAGCATGGCCTGGTAGACATGAATATTTCCGTAACTAGGGCTTCCATAAGAGATATCGACGTCGATATAGGCTACAAGTCAGTTAGTAACTTCATCCTTTGTTCAACAATACGGAACCCAGACAGTCCACTTACCAGTAGTGGTGTTAATAGCAAGAGACCGGTCAACCATGAGGGCGGCCGCAGTTTCATCCCAGAAAGGAAACTCGGTGCCATAGTGATCATGGAAGAGCCTGGTATACTCATTCTTGACCGTGTAGACCTCATCAAGGTAGTCCTGTGTCGATTGTACCTGATTGGCCACGTTTCCGGCGATAACAATCTCGGGGAACTCTGCATTGAGGGCAATTTTCGCAGCTTCTGGGTCGATCATCAAGTTGATCTGTATTCGATGTTACTGGGTTCGTTCTTGGGACAGTGAGTCAGTACACCTACATCGGAGTTTATGTCCGCCTGCAAATAATCACCCGTAACCTGATACATATTCACATCCACGTATCCTCCCATGATGACCAGTTCTTTGGCCAGGGAGGCGAAATCGGGATCCATTCGCACTGCCAAGGCAATGTTGGTCAACGCCCCGGCAGAGTAGATGGAGACTTGATGCGGATATTTGTGGACCATCTCAACCATGAAATTGGCGGCAGACGTGGAGTGGTTGATCTTAGTAGTGGGGAATCCCTCAACAAAAGCGGCCTTGACGATCCGGTTTGGATCCCCTGATGTTGGGTCATTACCGAGTGCTTCTGCTGTTACATTCTCTGAAGCGAAAGCGCCCTCCCAGGGAAGTTTGCCGTGCACGCTTTCCCATGCCTGGAAACGCGCTGGTGTATTGATTAGAGGATAGGTGGCACCCGCATAGACTGGGATGCAACTGAGGTTTCCAACCTCAAGGTTGGCTAGCGCATGGTATGCGCATTGACGCTGCCACGAATTGGCCGTATCTAGAAAAGTGTCAAAAGCAGTGGCTGGCACTGCATAAGAAAAAATAAGGAGCTCACCGGAGACTAGTCCCAGAACCTGGATGTCATTCTTGAGCGCGATCAAGAATGGAAGAAAGCTAATTGCCCCCCAGTCGTTATCCAGGATGGCATATCTTTTTTCGGGTTGGCTATTGGCGGGTGTACACAGGGCCAGAGAGAGAAAGAACAACGAAGAAAGAGAGCGAGTCGGCCACATCGTCACAGAAAGCGCGTTTGAGTCTCAAGTACAAAGTTGAATAGTTTCTCCGCATGGCGGCTCGGTTTGCCTTTATATGTTTGGTACTTGGATGGTGGGCCAGGCTCAATCAACCGGGCTGCTCCTCATTGAAGTTCGGCCACGCTCCTGACCATCACCCTATCGCGCACCATAGCGCCTATCGGCTTTTCCTCACCACACAGTAGTCTTTTATTGTGACCCCCTAATGGAAAGGAAAGGTGGGTATAGATAGCGATCAGCGTCCACATTTCCTATGCGGGAAGGTGTTTGCGGTTCAAGCTTTTCTCAGGTAATGAGCAGATGTCTTCTCCCAGAACTTGATAGTCAATTAGAGCCAAGGCAGAGAACATTATGGTGGTATTCTATCGATCATTCAATTCCATAAATAATGTTCCACCCGTCTGGGCTTTTCAGTCGTAGTAAGGCATAATGGTTTTATAGCATATGTCCCAAAGCGAGATTCGGAGGGGAAAACTAGAAGAGATAAGACTGCCGATAACCAGATTAAATTCGGCAGTTCCTTATCTTCACTGTACGAAGTACCGACAAGGGTGTAATGGTAATATGCAAATATCACGCTAAAAGAGGTTTCGGAGTTATGCAGTCACTGGTTCCACTGCTTCTTGCCCCAAGGACTGACTATAATGTCGAACAGGCTTCATTCAGATCTGAGCGGTGTATGGAAAACACTGTTAATATGAAACAGGGTTTGGGGAGGCCTGCGATCAACAAGGCCTCCCCACCACCGATAGGAAATACTGGGTATCATTTTTAACTCGAGCAGGAGAAGCAAAAGAAGGGTGTCGGTGAAGCCCAAAAGAAAGCGAATGCAAAAGAAGAAGAGAAGGAAACGCAGGTGAAAAGCGATGACAGACACGTTCAAATTACAACCAGGGCAACGGGCTGTAGTGGCAAATGCAATCAGTCTAGAAAAGTAAGAGAAAAGAGAATAAAAATAGAAAATAAAAATAAACAAAAATGCAAAGAGTGAGAAACATAGGGCGCCGTTACCGAAGACTCCACTGGACCTGCTAAAAGAACCCGTCAAAAGCCAAAAAGGAAAAGGAGGAGAAATAAGATCAGCTAAACACACGAAGTGCCAGGGGAGTCTGACATAAGTAACCCAAAATACAGTAACCTTCGCTTTTCCCATGCAAAGTGAGATTGGTAGTAGCTAGTCCGCTGCAAGATTTCACAGCCCAAAGATGCAATATAGAAAAGGCGACAAAAGAGTTGAAATCGAAACGGCCGGAACAAAACTGTGAGAAGAGTTCAATGGCGTAAAAGAGCGACATGGAATACATTTCATCCCTCCGCATCTTCTTCGGTCGAATGACTCCTGGAAGAAGTCGGGGATGGCTTCTGACCCATGTTAGGAGTTGAAGAAGGGATATCAGTATCGCGATTACGAACCGAGGACACTCCTGTGTTCAAGCATTCATTTTCTTTCCCGCTGCTGTCGGTCTCCGTTTCAGTGCTTTCACAGCCTTTTGTTCGAGAATGTAAAGCGCGTAGCGTAAGCCCCAGTTCCCGCTCCAGCTCTTTTTGAGAGGGCAGATTCTCCTTGGCCCCATTAAGTTTCTTTCTGTAAGCTCGCAGTGTACGGCAGACTTGTTCGGTAGACATGTTAAGGCTGCCAAACTCGGTCTTTCCGCCGTACCTACTACGTGATCGAATATCTAGTGGTGAACGGTGGTTGTTATGGCTTAAGTGGCTAGTCTTTTTCGCGGGGGTTGACTTAGGACTAGGAGGGGACGGTGTCCTATGCGACCTCTCTAGACGCGAGCTGGAGCGTGCTGATGCTGGTGTTGGCGTCCGTGGTGTAGCGTCTCCATTCTTGGCCGATGTGGGCCCAAGGGACAGTTTTGACAGTTTGCGTATGAGCGGCGGAGATTGCTCGCGCGTCGGAGTGGAGGCCCCTGTCCCATGCTCATGTCGAAATTCAGCAAGCTCATTCTTAGATAAAATCTTCCGTATAGGAGGTCTGGAAAGGGCCATCTCCTTTGAACCCTCATCTTCCTCCTTTGACGTGTTTCTTGTGATTTCTTGGGCTTGGAAGGGCTGCACCGAAATGTTCCACATCATGACAACACCGTCAATACCTGAGCTTATCAATGTGCGTACAACGGTTCCGCTGGGCGGATCAGGGCTCCTTTCCAGCAACTGCACGTCACTGACACCCTCGGTATGGCCAAATTCACCAGTGAGCAATACACCACGGTCCAAGTCATACACACGTATCGACTTATCAGTGCTGGCCACTCCTATTAGTAGCTTGGGACTGTGTCCCAAGATTCCCCCAGCTACTGTCAATGCACCCATTACCACTGCATCATTTGAATCGGAATCGACAGCTCGGATAGAATTCAGATGGCGACCGGACGGTATCTCATACTGGTGTACACATCGGTCTGTGGTGGATATGATAAGGGTGTCTGTGTCATCTGCGGACAAGGTCATAGACAACGGGGACGATTTCAATGTTATGACTTTGGAGATCATGTAAGCAATAGAAACACCGCCATCGGCCTCTCTGGTCACACGCTCCCTGATTAGCACTGTGCGATCAGCAGAGCATGAGAGAAGGTTTTCTCCGTCGTTAATGAAAAGAACCTGCCCCACAGCGCCTACGTGGTCATCCATCGTTTGGACTAACTTTAGGCTGTCTTCTGTTATTTGAAAAAGCTGAACCATGCGGTCACGACCGCAAGTGGCGATGAGACAAGAGTCGAAAGCTGCGCTCAACGCAATATCAGTGACTTCGGCTCCATGAGCTCGGACTTGATCCATGCACTTCCAAGACTGTCCTTCTAGAACTCGCAACACGCCGAATTTATCGCCAGAAACGAACAAATCCATCCTATCGCTGGCCCTCACTACCCTCAATTCATTCGAGGTTTCTTCATCTACGCCTGGAACTTCCTCCAAAGGGATGACATGGGAAGCCCGGCACTTGCCATGAGTGTCCCAGAAGTTCACTGTGCCCCTGCATGACCACGTGAAGAAGTCGGCCTCGAGGTCATTCGGTACTTTCAATGGGCCGATCCCAAGCACAGCATCTTGATGAGCAGGCATGGTGGTCTCCACATGGCTCTGTTCATCCTCCATGGCATCAAATGGGTAGATATGGATGGCTCTAGTCGTATCAACTGTAACCATGTGGGTTGTCAGGGATCCCATGCATGTGATAGCAGGCCCTTTACATCTATGTTCCTCGGAGGAGGTTTCGGAAAGGCTGGGTGACAAGGGAGCAGCAGATGATCGTAGAATCTCAGTTGGGAACCTCTGCATTCGCCTGCCTCGACCGCCAACCCATACACAGGAACGATCCGAGTCCACCATCAAGGAGGTGATGCTGAAACCCACATTCTCCACCAGGGTTATTTTCTGGGAGCCCTCTGTGTCACTGAGAAAACACAGTGCACCCGTATCCGTGCCTACCACGGCCTCACGATCAGAAACCATTGCCACGCTTGTAAACGTGCTCTCTGCTAAAGAACCCAGTAAACAGTTCCTTCCAGACAGCGCTCGCGGAGCAAAACTAGGCGAGCTAGGGGCGCATTCCATGTTGTGACGAGTCTTGGTAGGCGATGCTGGTCTAGCTTCTGGCAGTCTCCAGACTTTGACATGTCGAACTCCCACCCTATATATGATTTAGTCCACCCATCATATCATCAATCGTCTGGAAAGACCTACGTGATCAAAGTTTGGCCTATGAAACACATGTCCCGTATCGAAGACGTGCATTTGTTGGTTAAATGGAGCTTTGCAGCTCCGCTTTTCAGACTGACCGACCAAACAAACAGAAAGCCGTCATTGGTGTCACCAAGCGTAGCCAGGTACTGGGAGTCACTGCTAAAAGCCAGCCCGCGGACCCCGAAGGTATGGTCAGTAAGAATGGATAGTGGAACATCGGAAGGGGCGTCTTTTGCAGTTGAGTAGATCAAGACTCTGGGGCCATAGCCAGTCTAGAGGAAAATCAGTAAACTTTATACTGTTGGTCGGCTTGGGAATTTGTGCCACGCACCTCGCCCACGGCAAGGAATCTCCCATTTGGGCTGATTGAGACGCTAGTGACTGCTTTTACTCTCTCTCGCGAAGACCAGGCACGGCTGCTGTTACTTTCTGCCAATTCATTCGCCGGGGAGCCGTTGAGAATGGCACTATGCGCCGTGGACTTGACGCCCGATGATGGCCTAGCGCGAGTATCTGGTGTGGTTGGAGGGGTAGATTGATGGTAGAATGAAGCGACGGGGTGGACGCTCGAGGCGGAGGGGCGTGCTCGGAAGAAACGTTGATTCACATTGCCCGCCTCGTCTAATTCAGCTAGGATGGCTGCTGAACCGGCGCAGAGGGCAAAGGACTTGCTCTGGTCGTGACTGGAAAATCCATGGGGAGAAGTTGTAGTCGTACCGATCACGGTCTGTAGGGACAAGGTCGCCTGATGTTGCGGTGCCTTGTTGGGAGTCCGCGGGGGTCTTAAACCCGGAGAATTGGTGGGAGTGATTCGGAGGGACGAGCCTGCGCCAACTGCTTTGTTTTTCACATTCAATGAATTGTACGCCATGGCCAGTTTGGGCTGAGTCTGATCACAATCATTCAAGAACTTTATGAAGACTGCAATCGTAAACGTATATCTCGACTGGAGTTTTGCTCGCACTTTCGGGTGGTAGCTTTAACAACCTATTTCGGTGCCATTCAGTGATTTGTAACCGGAAGAAGCTGGAGAAAAAACAATAGGTAAGGGTATGTCTTCGTGCTTTGTGGTAACAAGCTTCTAGATTCTAGTAATGATAGACTGAACTCGGTAGGAGAGGCGTTTTGTGGGATAGCACAAATGTGGGAGGGGTGAAAGGAATGGCCGAGCTCGGGGAGCCCTGAGAGAAGCTCAGTCGATGTGGACCGGGTATAAAGGAGCGACCAATAGGTTGTGGTGAGAAGGGCGAAAGAGTGAAGGGAAGTAAAAATAAAAGAGAGGGCTAGCAAAGGAACGAGAGATTGAAAGTAGAGGGTGAGGCTAACATGAATCGAAGGAGAGAGCACAACTGTATCTGTCAGTCAGTAAACAAGGGTTTTTGCGGCATTCCAGCGGGCGGAGAAAATCCTCAGGAAACCAACTTACGAGACGAATGACGAAGGAATAAATGAGTGAATGAAGGATTGGCGAACCTCTCTCAGCCCTTAACCCTTGGCGCAGAGAGAGGATCTGACAGAGGGAAGAAACGAACCTTTTAGCTCTCAAGCTAAGGGTATCTTAAGATCCATCAACTAAAAGGGAGATCATTTACTTGAACGAGAGCTTCCTTTTGTTCTTTATTTGGGAGTTGATAACCCTAAACTCCTTTGGGCGAGCACCGCCAATTTTAAGTTTATCTGGGCAGAAGCAAATTAAATGAAGGGTCACCTCCATACATACGGCAAATCTTCCGGGAGGGAGAGGGAAATTGGCCAGTTTTGAACCCAGGTCGGAAAATGAAAAACAAAAAAGACAAACCAGAAAAGACGCAAAAAAAAAAAAGGAGCATGTTTGGCTGGGCACCAAGCGGTTGAACTCCCCTTGTGGATCAGTCACAGAGCACCAAGTGGTCTAGTCTTCCAGTTAGTCTCATATCGGATGTGGAGATGCCAATCATTCTTCCTAAATGGTAATCCAGAGAATCCTTAAACAAAGCCCCCGTTCGAATCTTCGAATATAAAAGGGAGGGAGAATTCTCTCCACCATAGGCCATTGCAACACCTCAGCGCTTCTCTGGTGCAAGACAGCTGGTGAATGGTGATAGGGGACACAAGACGTAGCTCTAGGTTCACTATAGTACAACTGAGCAGCAGCTGTATAAACACCTGGCGAGTGTTTGATGCTGTTGAGTTTTCGAGCAATACTGGAAAGCGTAGAATAGGATCATTTCCTCTACTCACTTAGGACAAGCAACTATATCCAGGGCGCTGAACTATAGAAATATAGGTTTCAGGTTTCACGGCAGAAAGTGATTGATATTATGGATGAATTAGGGACTAATCCTTAGTTGGGCCTTCAGAGAGCTCCATTTTTGAATCGTATACATTGCCCTTGTACTTACTAGAGGGATTGGGCTCGATTTCTGAGACAGAATCATTTAAGGGCTCCTTTTATATCTACTCCCTAAGTAATATATTCTTTCCCCAAAATCCAACGTCATTCTTATCGGAAGCGATAAGATCACGTGATTATCACTGTCGTCTGAGGTGGAAACTGTTCTGGATCTTTTCCAGATTCCTCTGCTATCGAATTTCTCCAGGTCAGAGATCGGCAACATTCGCACCTCGTTTTTCCATAGTTGCTTGAAGAGGCTTCACTATGGTAGCCTTCTGTGCTAGCTCTGCTAGACTAGCTCTACCTACACTTCTGCGCAACGTGTATCGCTCCGAATTTACCTCTGAGCTTCATTCCTCCCGTCTCATCTCTCTGCGCCGGGCGTCTCACTCCCATCAGCTTTGTAACAATGGCCGGAGTTTTGCTTCCGTCTCGAGACTACTTGCCTCCCAGCCAGGACCGCATGCGAATTCGCAACAGCCGTCGCAACCGGCCATCACAGAATCAAGTTCAGAGCAACTAGATGCCACTGTATACGGTTCTGTTAGTGAAACCCCTGCAAAGGATACGACAATCCATCGTGATCGACGGGACCCAAATAAACCCGCTCGAAAGGCGAAGAAGACGAAGTTTTCCTCATCACAAGCAGAACCCGATGCAAACTCAGTCAAATCCTCCCGCGATAAGAAACATGTGCGCAGTGACCGAACCTCCCCGGATTACAAACCCAAGAAAAAGGAGCACTGGCAAATTCAAAAAGATGCCTTGAAGAAGAAATTCAAAGAGGGATGGAACCCATCAAAAAAGCTTTCGCCCGACGCTCTTGAGGGTATTCGCCACTTACATGCCGTAGCTCCGGACAAATTTACAACTCCTGTTCTTGCCGAGCAATTCCAGGTATCTCCAGAAGCTATTAGACGTATTTTGAAAAGCAAATGGCGTCCTTCCGAAACAGAAATGGAGGACCGGCGCAAACGATGGGAAAAGCGGCATGATCGAATCTGGAGTCATCTATCAGAGCTGGGTCTCCGACCGAAAACAAAACGCACGGAGGCCTTAGACGATTCAAACATACTGTATGGTAAGGGCGAAGAAGGCAACAAACCATCAGAGTAATCTGTTGTTGTGTTTCAGAGAAGCATGAAAGCATTGTGCAAATTGGAGACATATATACTGTTAATAGTACATAATTACTTACATTGTTACTGTTTCTCTTTCATTCTCTTCCTCTCTCTACCTTCATTTCCTGTTTTTTGTTCTTTTTCTTTTCTTCTTCCTCTTCTTCCTCCTTACCTCTTGGTCTTTTGCGATTGCTGGTATTGTGCTGAAACCCTGAGTTACTTGGCTCCATAATTAATGTGTCTCCTTTTGCGGAGATTTGTTTTACCAAGTGATTCTTCTGTATCACGTCAAACAAGCCTTATTGTGTTTCTATATTCCATGCTACGGCTATAAAACAAAAGAAAACAAAATAATAAAATAAGTCTCCTCATCCGGAGCATTTCATAAACTCTTTCCTTATCAACCCCAATCGAGACGATTAAAGATATGGAAAAGTCTCCGGTGGGCTAGAAAAGGACGCTAACTCTAAAGTGTCTTAACTTGGTACGGTTACCCTCAGTTGATTTGGCCGACAAGGCGCATGCAACGCGACTCTGGCCCGTTCACTCACGTTTTCTCTTTTCTGTTTTTTCTTGTTTTGTCCTTCTCTCTATGATGGCTCATCCAATCTGACAGCATGCCATAACCGGCTATTGTCAATTTGTTCCCCCCCCATCTGTCCTATTCATTTATCACATCGGCGGCGTTAAACGGAGAAGAAGCCGATACCCTTTGGTGGCGGCTGTTGGTATCCACCGTTTACCCCAAGCTTCTTGCTTCCTGCTGCTTTTCTCCGCCCATATGGTCACCTTGCGACCCTCGCCATGCCGTCGGACATTCAAGTCTTTGTGAAATGGAAAGATCAGACAATATTCGCCGGTGAAGATGTGGATTGTACCATAACCTTCAAGAACGTTGCGGAGGGAAACGTGGAGAGCAACAATGGCAGACAGCTCTCACCTCAGAGGAAGTCGTCTCGGCCGGGCAGTAGCACGCCTCACTCGGACTCCTTCTTCTCCCTGAAATCGCCGAGGAATCTATTCTCCAACCCAAATCGCCGATCCTCGACGACGTTCTCGAGGAGAAGCCCATCCCATCGCGTTTCTTCATCGTTAAGTTCACCATTGGTCGGTTCCCATAGCTTTCCGCCTCCTTCGACACCTCGCAATGGCCCACCCCCCGACCACAAGCACAAGCGATCCATTTCGATATTATCAATTGATAGCGAAGGAGGCGGGGATAGGACCCCGAAAACGTCTTCACCCTTCACCCGCTCGAGGCCAGCCAGAGGGCATGGGCGTTCTGCGAGTTTGCAGGTGGTACCCAAGCGATTCGAAGGCTATGATGACATATTTCCCAAGGGTATGTCTCTTGCTTTGGCAGCAGCGCTCGATATCTCGTAACTTGCACTGACAGTGACTGCAACCTAGGTGGGCGTCATACCGCGCGGGGTGTCCCACCTCCTGAATCCCCCATGAATGCCTCTCCACAAAGTCTACGAGTCGATGTGGACGCGGCGGCCAGGACTAGTCGCTCTAGGTCTGGTACGATGAGCCCGATTAAATCAGCCGAATCACCGCGAGGGCCTGCGCGTCGACCGCAATTACCTCCAATGGACTTCAAATTCCCACCTCCCGCGAGCGAGACGAGCAATCCACGACCCGGCGCATCACCAACGATACCGGCCGGGGAGCATGGCAACACAATAACGGTAGCAAAGTCGAATGGTAAAGAGGCCTCTGCGTTAGCTGCACCAGGTCACTTGCCGCAGCTCACCAAGATTATGTCGACGTCGAGTCTGAGTGGTAGCCATAGAAGCAGCGGCGAATTCTACTCTGTGGGGAACAATTCCTCGGAAACTTTACAGTCGGAATACACGAACTACTCTATGACAGTCCCTCGAACACCTGTTTCTCGACACGGGCGACACATGTCCAGCGTTGACTCTGCGGCTTGGCTGCCCAACGGTCAGACGTTGCTCATGGGCTATGCCCAGATCAGTGCATCATTTACAGTGGATGGCTCACTAATCAACCAGTCGGCTTTTGAGGAAGTCAAGAGGAAAGGCGTAGTGGGTGACCAAGGGAATGCTGCCGGCATGTCCAACGGACGAAGCGCTGCAAGCGGCGACAAAAATCGTAAAGGAGGTGGTTTCTGGGGCGCTTTCAAATGGAACGCGATAGAGGAATCCATCAACGGTCTACTTTCCAACAATGAACTTGATGGTCTACGCGATATGCGAGGTGTCACCTCATCACGATCGATACCGTTACTGTCCACATCTCAATCGCTTCTCTTCGTGGATCTCCGACTAGCACCCGGAGAAGAGCAATCCTACTCATTTTCCTTCACTTTGCCCCGTGGCCTCCCTGCTAGCCACAAAGGAAAGGCTATAAAAATTTCCTATAACCTAGTCATTGGCACACAACGACCGAGTGTCCGTAATGAACCCCAGCGTGTCAATCGCATTACTATACCATTCCGGGTATTTTCCGGCGTTGATGGTAAGTAGCTCCCTCTGGCTGATGATATCCTCTCTATCCGGCGCAACTAATGTATCGTAGGTCAAGGGGATATCCTTGGCCATGACTTGATGAACCCCTATGTGCTTCTCCGAGATGAAGCTAGAGTACAGAAGGTTGGGCCAAGTCCGCCGCCATCTACCAAGACTAAGAGTATCAGCGGTACCACGTGGAACTCAGCGCCTGAGTTCTTAGGCTATGTTGATGATATTCTCGAACAACGCTCCCAGGGCGCTCTTCTACAGCCCCCTGAGACACCTCTAGAAAAGCGCCCAAGCCACGACCTGTCCTTGGGCCCACTGTGCAGCAAGGATGCTATTGATCTCGCGATTCTCCGAAGCAACCAGGCTCTTAACTCGTCGCGCAGCCCCAACCGATTTGAGATTGCACGCAATGGGCGTCGGATTGCCGTTGTGGTGCTCAATCGACCAGCTCATCGATTAGGGGAAACTATCATTGCTACGGTGAACTTTGCCGGCGCCGCGCTCCCCTGCTATGCAATTCGAGCCACGCTAGAGACGTCGGAGAAAGTGACAGGGTCATTAGCCGTGCGGTCTGGCGCAAGCATCCGACGTGCCACTCGAAAAGTACATGCTTCTTTCTTCGAAAACACCCTGTATTCCACGCGAGTCGTCTTTAGTCCTGCTATCCCCATCTCTGCCACTCCTACAATCCTAACTACTGGAGTCAACCATGAGTGGGAATTACGGTTTGAATTTGTGACGCCAACCATGCATGCCGACTCTGGGGTCGGCCCGTCGGGCGCTACGTTACTCGAAACCGTGCATGAAGATGACCGGGGACGGATTATGAATGCTTTAGAGAACATCGGGTGTGAGTCGTTTGAGATTGCGATCCCTCTCACGGTATATGGGGAGACAGTCCGAGAAAGACTCCCCGAGGAGAATGAAGGATACTCTATATAAATAATGTTGTGATGGGCATGGGCATGTCCCTGCGGACTCTATCTGTATGGGAGGAAGTACTGTTTACCTTAATGACTCTCATAGATATCCTCCCCATGCGCGGGGTAAATAAATGTATGTATGTTATTGGCAAGACATTGTTAACGAGGCCCAATCAAGAGAGTTCGGTTTCTCTCTGTCTCTTTTCTTTTTTGGTCTATGTGTTCCTCCTTGCTCTCTCATTTCAATGCAATACCTATGTAAATGGACCATTACTCATTCCAAATAAATTGCAGCCACAAATCCCTTGAATGTGGCTACATGGAAGGGGAGCGGTGGAGGTCACCGGGGCAACCCATGGATGAGCGATGACTGGTGCCTTCGGCATCCATGGAACACATGCACTTAGAGGTTCCGCTCTGGTTAAATCGTGGAGACAAGACGGGAACCTCGATCGATGACGGAATTGGGCTTGTGTTGATCGGAGATCCTTCCATTGCCCACCGCTTCTTGATTTTCTTTAGCCTGGAGAACCCTCAGCCGCACTGTCACCTGATTGATCGCAATTCCATAGCATTGCCCGTGAAAAGTGAGATGATTCCCCCGGCATCTCTCACGCACTTTGCCCACGATTAACTAACCCCTGCCTGTTTGGTTGTGGAATGTAGGCGCATTCCCGGTCACCTACGCCGCACACATCAACGCTTCAACCCACCACAACAAAGTCAAATTAGTACAGATCTGAGTGCTCGGAGGTCAGATCGCGGGGCATTTTTTGTGCGCTGGATCTGGAGGATTGATAAAAGAGAAGAGGACCGAGAGAAGAAAGTAGAATGGCTTCATTCATCACCACCATGTCGGTTCCCATTAACCCTGTTCTTGTTTCTTCTACCAATACTCCTGCTACTCCCTTTGCCCCGCCATCATTTTCAAAATCATCTCACCCGTTGCCCCGCCCATTGAGTCCCTCGATTCATTACAATGATGCCCCCCTCACACAACCTCCTTCTTACCTGTCGCCGATTGTGAGCGCGCTCACAGATGAAACATGTGGACTAACCCCTCCCAGCAATGCGCGGACACGCGCGCCGTTTAAGCCACGGTCCGCGGCCAAAGGCACGAGCAGTTACCAGTTGAGACAGTTCGCAGAGGCGACGTTGGGAAGTGGGAGTCTCAGAAAGGCCGTGATCCTTCCTGAGGGGGAGGACTTGAATGAGTGGCTAGCAGTTAATGGTGAGCTCTCAGACTCGTCGCCAGTGCGACCGGGTGGTTGTCGCAGGCCGCTAATACACTATCCTCGGCAGTGGTGGATTTCTACAATCAGATCAATCTTCTCTATGGTTCTATTACAGAGTTTTGTTCGCCTCAGTCATGCCCGGAGATGAAAGCCACAGATGAGTGCGTAACCTTCCCGGGGATTATCCGGATTACGGCTGACACGAGAAATAGATTTGAGTACCTTTGGCAAGACTCGGAGCACTTTAAGCGGCCGACGAAGATGTCTGCCCCAGAGTACATCGAACACCTGATGAGCTGGGTTCAGAGTAATATTGATAATGAACAAATGTTCCCCAGCCGACTGGGTATGTCCATAGCCATAGTCTCTGTGTGACTTCGCTAATGCAAACTAGGCGTTCCGTTCCCCAAAGCGTTCACCAGCCTCATCCGTCAGATTTTCAAGCGGTTATACCGGGTATACGCACACATCTACTGCCATCATTACCCGGTCATCGTGCACCTGGGACTCGAACCGCATCTGAATACAAGCTTCAAACACTACGTGTTGTTTATCGACGAACATCGGCTGGCGAGCGGGAAAGACTTCTGGGGTCCGCTGGGGGATCTGGTTGAGAGCATGTTGCGAAGCGATTAACGGAGGTGTTCGGTCGACTTGGCAAATTGAGGATCTAGATTGGGCATGACGGTGATAGTCGGTTTCCAATCAACCAATGCACTGAATGACGGCGTTTGGTGGGGGTTTTTTAGCATTCTGTCATGGTTTTAATAGAAAGATGGTTCCCACCATCACGATGAGCGGCGTTGTGTTGAATGTGTTCAGTGTGTTCAGTATGTTCGGAATGAGGATCTTATCTCTAGTCGAAGTGTTTTGTAGTGTAGCCGAAAAACCCGGCGTGTGCGGATACTCACGTGACTGGCGAGAATTGTTGGACGGAACATCAACTCAACTCCATCTCAGCACGACCACCGGCCATTTGCTCCCCTCTCCGACCGACGTTCGCACCGTCTCGCATCCACTACCCTCCCTCCTCCACTCCCTCGAGGTTCTTCTTAGATATCTGTCACAATGATGCCCACTCGGTTCGCCCGCGCCGGCCTCCGTGCCACCCAGCAGTTCTCCGTTCCTCGCACTGCCGCTGTCAACGGCCTGAGGGCCTACGCTACCCCGGCCCAGGAGGTCAAGCCTCCTGTGTCTCTGTACGGTGTTGATGGTACCTACGCTACTGCTCTGGTATGTGTCTTACCGATCGAGTTGGATGGGTTGGGTGGGATTGGGTTCTGTTGTGGTTTCCATTGACCCGAGGCGTTGAAAATCCCCTCAAAACCGCGTCCGAGCCATGGAGACTACACCTCAATCTGAAAGCACCGAACCCTCCAACATCACATTTTCAGCTGGGATGCCCGCCACTAACTGAATGACAACAAACAGTTCACTGCCTCCGCCAAGTCCGCCAACCTTGAGCAGACCTCCAAGGCCCTCTCCGTTCTCGGCGAGACCCTCAAGGCCGACCGCAAGTTGACCGGTCTCATCTCCGCTCCCACCCTGACTGCTTCCGACAAGTCCCAGATCGTCCAGGAGCTTCAGAAGCTTACCGGCGACAAGGGCGACATTGTCAAGAACTTCCTCGAGACCCTCGCCGAGAACAACCGTCTGGGTCTGTTGGAGGGTGTCTGCGAGAAGTTTGCGACTCTGATGGGTGCTCACCGTGGTGAGATCGACCTCAACATCACCAGCGCTCAGGTATGTCCCTCCATACGATGCATTTTTCTGCTTCCGTGTTTGCGGAGTGATATCGTCGTGACTCGGTACTGACGAGAATCCCAGGAGCTTGACAAGAAGAGCATCAACCGTATCGAGAAGGCCGTCTCCGGCTCCCAGTTCAGCCAGGGCAAGAAGCTCAAGGTTGTCACCAAGGTATTTAACTTTCGCCCTCCCAGTATGGTGGACCACCTTTCAGTACTAACGGAAACAGGTCAACCCTGACCTCGTTGGTGGACTTGTTGTCGAGATCGGTGACCGCACCATCGACCTCAGCGTCTCCTCCAAGATCGCCAAGCTCAACAAGGCCCTCACCGATGCCCTGTAAATTAGATATACCTCTGATTCCGACCCATGTACCGTACTACTACCATGACCAGTAGTGAATATTGTTTCCTTTTCTTTTTGGACCTGAGGCATTTCGCATGACTCGATCTGAGTGATAGACAGAATTGAGTTATTCCCTTCATCCTTGCCAATGTATGGAGAGTAGCATTTGCCGATAACATGACATGACATGCACATATTTATTAATCGGTTTGTGTAGCCTATTTACAGTAGTCTATATATAGTAGCCAAATAAGGCATCTTTATAAAACAACTTAACACCTTCCACATTCAGACCAAAACGAGCGAATTAAGCTGTACAGTACAGTCTATACATACCACCCAGCTACAATCCCAACGAAAACCTATCATTCCACCAACCAATAGAACAGAAAGAATTAACCCACCGCAAATACAAACTTGGATTATCCTCATGGTGCCTCTATACACAGAGACGACACCTCACTCCAATCGCTTCCTACCCAGAAACTAAACCACGCCTCAACTAGAACAAAATACCATCTCTAATAATCAGTCCACAAGGACAAGATCTGAAGATGTGCATATAATATACATGTATTTCCGTCTTGCGCAGGGCCACCTACTAATCATGATCCCTATATTGGTATAAACCAATGAGAGAGAGGTTAGGTAGGCAAACTTCAGTTAGTATCTATTCGTTATTGGGAGATAGTTTGGGGTTTGGGGCTTGGGGTTTGAGGTTCCTGTTTCTGGCTCTATGTTCTCTCTCCGTCTCTTTGCTTTTCTGTTTAATTGCTGGGGTTGTAGGGATGCTAGGTAGTGTCGGAGTTATGGTGTGGGTTGTATATCAGAGAACTGTAAATTTATGCATGGGTTGGAGGTGTTTTGTTAGGTTTCTTTTCGGGTTCTTTTATTTTGGTTTACTTTTTATTTGTCCACTGTTTCTTTAGAAAAAAAAAAAAAATCATTCTGGGGTGCTGAGATGTATCCATATGGATTTGTTTCTTGGTTGCTTGGCATGGATCCTAGTATATATATCTCTTCTCAAGTATTGTCTTTCATGATGTGGCTTTCCACCCAAGTAATATAGCCCAAGCAAATAGAAATGGCAAATGTTCACGGATAAATCTCTGCATATGGCTGTGAATGTACGTACTGCTAACTAAAGTCAATGCAGGCTTCTATAACTATGACTATGGTTCTAATGTTATTAACCCATGAAAGAAATTACCCGTCAACAGTCTCAGCGGATATCTCCCCCATATCCTGTCTAGATACCAATCAATGTCCATTCGACTTCAGATCAGCTTGCGTCTCGAACTCGTCCTCATATGCGCCCATCGACAACTGGCTTCTCACCCGCTCCAACTGACTCTCGACATAATGTGACACATGATCATCCACACCGTTGTCTTTTTCTTCATCGTCGACAACACTTTCTGCGGCGGTAGTGTCGCCAAAGGACGACTCGAAGTCGCTTCGGTTCCCGATGGAGCGGCTTGTGGACGAGCGACGGATGCTGGGTCGACGGCTGCCGCGTGCGCGGGAGCGGCTGAAGATATCATCAAAGTAGTGTGATGCCGCCGCGTATGGGGAGCGGGGGGTTTGCGGAATGCGGCAATTGACTCTGTACCGAGAGTTAGACTATATTGACAGTGAGTCATGCTACATTGGTGTACTTACCCAGTGTCGTGGATGATCTTGGCAATCAAGCCAGTCCAGCCGCATTGGTGAGATGCTCCAAGGCCCCGGCCGGTATCACCGTCGAAAAATTCGTGGAACCACATGTAATCTTTCCAGTGCTCGTCGAAGTCGAGAAGGTCGGAGTTGTCGTGTACCGCGCGACGTCCTTCGTCGTTACGCGCAAACAAATGCTGCAACCGATGTTGAATTTCCTCGGCAACCTGCCCAAGATGCATATATTCCCCGGACCCTGTAGGGCACTCAATCTGGAATTTATCGCCGTAGAACATGTAGAAGCGCAGCAACGACTCGACCAGCAGGAAATTGACGCACAGCCAGACCGGTCCGCGCCAGTTGCTATTTCCCCCGAAGAGAGCACTGTCCGAGTCGCCAGGGACGTAACTGACACGGAACTCCTGACCGTTGACCGTCATAGAATACGGATGCTCGCCATGGTATTTAGACATGGATCGGATACCATGCTCCGACAAAAACTCGGTTTCGTCGAGCATCCTTTTCAAGATCTTTTCCAGGCGGTCTCTGCTGACCAGTGCCAACAGAAGACGCTCGCCTTTCCCACGACGCTTCATGCTAGCGATGTTGCGCTCGGCAACATCCTGCCGATTCTCAATGAACCACTCCAATCGGCGCTTGAAGGAAGGGAATTGGTTGATCAATTCGGGCTCAAGTGTGAGAACTCCATATAACGGAATCAGGCCAACAAGGGACCTCACGGGGAGCTGTTGAGTCCATGGTTCGCCGTAGGAAATGGCATCGTAGTAAAACCTAAATCACATCAGATAATAATCGGGTTGGTCTCGGGTGTAGCTCTTACCCATCCTCTTCGTTCCACAAAGAGGCCTCCTGGCCTCCCGATTTGAACGTCATAGCATCACTGATTAGGATGAAATGCTCGAAGAACTTGGACGCAACTGTAACTGTTAGTCGACTTCTTCATGCGACAAGTGCCGAGTTTCAACGTACTATCCTCATAGATCCGTCGGTGTTTCGCTAATTCCAAGGCAATGTTGAGCATGCATAAGCAATAGAAGGCCATCCAGCCAGTGCTGTCTGCTTGCTCCAAAACACCTCCAGTGGGCAAAGGCTCGGAACGATTGAACAACCCAATGTTATCCAAGCCGAGGAAGCCTCCCTCGAAGACATTCTTTCCCTCCGAGTCTTTACGGTTGACCCACCAGGTGAAGTTGAGGAGCAACTTTTGGAATACCCGTTCGAGAAAGTCTAGGTCTTGCCGACCATACATCTTCCGCTCGATCTTGAAGACCCGGAACGTGGCCCATGCATGGACGGGAGGGTTTACATCGCCAAAGTTCCACTCATACGCAGCAAGCTGTCCGTTGGGATGCATATACCATTCCCGAGTGAGAAGATCCAGTTGCTTTTTGGCAAAGTCGGGATCTATCATCGCGAGAGGTATGCAATGAAAAGCCGTGTCCCACGCAGCGAAAAACGGATACTCCCAGGAGTCGGGCATCGAGAGAATGTCGTCCATGTACAGGTGTTTCCACTGTTGGTTTCGAACATGCTTCCTACCGGGGGGAGGCGCGATCATCGCGGGGTCACCATTTGCCCATTGATCCCAGACAAAATGGTAGTACTGCTTTGTCCACATCATACCCGCAAATGCCTGTCTCTGGATGTTTCGGAGATCGTCGCTCATGGGTAGGGGGCTGATGTGATAGTAGAAGTCGTCGGCCTCTGCTATACGCTGTTCGATCGTGTCGTCCAGTTCCTCTTCGTCAATGAAGGTCTGGAGCTTTCGGGACAGCCTGAAACGGACAACAGCACACTCGCCTGGGGGGATCCCCTCACCCTCATTAAAAGCGTACCAGGCAGCAAACTTGGTACCCTTGTTCTCCGGGTTAATCGCGTCCTTTTCGCCGTTGACGATGTAGCGATGGAATGCATCCTTCACGTACGGCTGATCGTTTTCAGACTTCCAGAGCAGCTCGTTGTTCGTCTCGTTTTCCGTAAACAGCATCTTTGGCAGGATATCGTCCTGGTTGCTTCCCGCTGCTGGCGAGGGGGAGAATCGTACATATCTTTCGCCTAGCTTCTTGTGGTAGGACTTGGCTGTCAGCGGGGCGACCTTTTCGATGGAAGGCTTATGAGATTGATCCTCGTAGCCCCAGGCCCAGGTGTTCCGGAACCACACATGGGGGATGATGTGCAAGGGAGCCGGCTCAGGGCCTCGGTTATAGGCAATAACGCGAAACAGGAGCTCCTCTTCGTCATCGTCTTCCTTGGCCGTCTCAATGAAAATATCCCAGTACCGATTGTCGTCGAAAGCGCCGGTGTCGAGGATCTGGTATTCGCGTTCCAATCTCGACCGGCGCGCGTTCTCGTCTCTGAGGTCCTCGTAAGGAAACTTCTTCTGAGGGTATTTGTAGAGGTATTTCATGTAGGAATGCTGGAATGAAGCGGTTAGAAAGGGCAAATATGAACAGCGTCCCTCTTGGATAGATCTACCGTCGGTGTGTTATCAAGGTGGAAATGAGCTTCTTTGATACTCTCTCCATGGTTTCCTTGAGGGTTTGACAAGCCAAATAGACGCTCCTTCAGAAAATCGCTATTGCACAGTGAGTCAGTGGTCGGAAGGTAGGGTAGGACCAAGGGGACATACTCCTTCTCGTTCCAGAAAGCAAACGCAACGTTCTGCAGCGTATGGGTATCGGAGACCCCGGCGATGCCATCTTCGCCCCAGCGGTATGTTCGCGACCGAGCGTGCTCATGGGAGAAGTCTATGGCGCGGATTGGGGTTAACGGGTCGCGACGGATAAGAAAGAAAGAGAATGGCGAGGCAAAGCGAACTTACAGCTCCACGCATCACCGTTTTCACTTTGCCACCGAGTCAATTGGTTTTGTTCATAAATTCTGGGTGGGAAGGACTTACGAATAATCCTCTCGAACTGCGGGGATCCGAGAATGAGGTCATTAGTTCTGCGGCCCCTCATCGCAAATCACAGCAACCACGCACCGAACGCGCGATGGAAAATAAGAAAGAAACCAAACACCGTTCAAGAGGTACTTACCGGTTGCCCATTGCCTCTCGGCTACGTACGGACCCCATTTTTTCCAGTAACGAATGCGATCCCGATCTTCCTTTAATCGCTCCTCCTCCCGCGAGGTGTGGACGTGCTTGTCGATCAGGACCATTCTAGTCGGGATCGACGGAGGACAAGATAGGAGGGGAGAAGTGAGATGAACTGAAGGAAGAATCGAGGTACTGAACGGGGGTTGGGTGACAAAAAACGAAAGAGAAAGAAGCTGGAGGGGAAGAGGAGGGAAGAGAAAGAAAGAAGGGAGGCGAAAGATAAAGGACGGCAGTTCCTGAACCCTGTTCCCAGAGCTGCAGTACAACTCACCAGCGATCCGATCGCTGGCTTATCAGAGGACCAGAAAGGACCCAGAAACATGATTTCTTGACTTGGCCTCAACGGTCTGGACTCGTCGCTCGGACGTTCCATCGCCATGGTGGATACTAAACTCGCTCCCGTCATCGGTTCAAATTATGCCACCTGACTTGACATCATGGGAGATCTCTTTCTCACGATTGATGAATAATTGAGACTGAAACAGACTGAGGACCTGAAAATAGTTCAATTGACTTCCGCCACATTAAGCCTCTCCTGGGGCCTCATACATGAGCGCAGAACAAACATGCTCACTCAATAAAGTCCTGAATAAAAGCCCTAATGGACCCCGAAATTTCCTCACTATACGCCTCTTCTCAGTCTGCGCGTCAGTTATTTTCAGACGTTGATGTCGTTTCAACTACTCCATATAAGTCAAATTAGAAATCAAGGTATAGGGGCGAAAAGTCTTTGCTAACCGTTTGGAGCCTGAAAAGGTAGTACTCCAGCTATCTTCTCGTCCATTCAGATTTTAAATCATCGACGAATTCAAGTAAAAGACCATGAACAGGATCTGCTCAATTATCCACTAACCAACGAAACCCCTTCAATGTTTTGTTTACCTGCTAGTTTTATTCGTATTTTAATGAAGTGTTGGACGGTAATAGTCCTCTGTGAGGTCAACATTCTTATCCAGGCCATGTTCTTGCTTTCGTTAATAGTGAGCCAGCCATGACAGTAGGGTCCGGCCACATCGGATAACTTTTTTCTCTCTAATGTGATCATAGACTCGACATTCGACGATAAAATGGTCCAGTGATGCGGTATTCTCGAATCGGGACCAAGGGGTTCGCCAAATGATGAACTGGTTGAAACGGTGAGTAAGTGACAAGTCTAGCGAAAGAATAGGCTGAAGAAGTGTTACTACCTTCAGAGCATATAGTTGCCCTGAATTTGTACTTTGAATATGTAGCCATGAGGTGAGGGCGCCAGGTCTTCTAGGAACTCCAGCTCAGAGGCCAGGTCTCTGTCTCATCCATACTTTGTAACATGTATCTTTTCGAGATGGTGTAGACATATTTGCTAAAAGGGTATGCAAGTAAACAGTAGATTGTGAGGGTCCAAAGGTGTATATTAATTAAATGATGGGAGAGGGTCTAGATATTATATCACCTGAGTATAGTCTCTTGCGCATATATTACGCGCACATTAGCAGGTTCCATAGAATTAAAAAATTTTACCTTGATATAAATTAACTTACTAGTATGATCTCTAACTGGTGGCACCTGATTTGACAAACCCTATCCTTGACACCTCTTCTGGTCTTTTTTATTATAGCTATAGAATATAGAATCTAGAAGGATAGAGAAGCAGTACTATATTATGATATAATTAACATAGCTCAATATTGAAAAGAATTTAGATTTGTAGACTAATATCTATACTTTTTATCTATCTCTAAGGACTCGGCTGATGAGAAGATATTGTTAGAGGTGTTACATACTATTCTCATAAATTAAGAACTTAATGAGGATGATCTGGGTAATTTGGAGGATACGTAAGTTTCCGCAACTGCAACTACTGACTCTATCCCTTTCTCTCTATCTATTTTCTTCTTTTGCCACTGTCTAGAGAACCATTACAGCGAGCGTCTTGCAGATCGACTGCTGACCGTGGGACCCGAACGCGAACTGCCCGAACCGGTAAAGTGTACGCAAGTGGGCCATTCATCCATAGTCTATACTCCGTAGTAAGTCCTGAGAATCCCCGTTAGTTGCAAGGCGGATAGTCTGTCTACAGGGAAGTTCGCATTCGTATCAGATGCAATGCACTTATTTAAAGAAGCGTCGTGCTGCTGTTTATCAGAGTATTTCCACCCTCGAATGTCCCACGCGGAGCGAGCCCTCTACTCAAGATGAATGTCACATCCTGCTCGCCTGCAGCAATCCAAACTCCCACTGTCTTCGGGGCAGAGATTCTCTCCCTGTCGGCCTCATGGGTCACCAACTACACCCTTAACGTCCCGGCCACTTTCAACTACAACCACGGCGACGTTGATGTGCGCAATGCGCAGTTCTGCAACATCACCATCACCTACACACACCCCGGATACAACGACCAGATCACAGTGGAGACCTGGTTTCCGCCGCAGACCAAATGGAACGGCCGTCTCCAAGCCACAGGCGGTGGCGGCTGGAACGCCGGGCGCTTCGTGCTGTCCCAGTTCTTCATGAGCGGCGCAATCGGCGAGGGCTATGCGGCGACCACCACCGATGCTGGCTTGGGAGAAGCCGGACCCAGCTCGTGGGCGCTCCGAAGCCCCGGCAACGTCGACTACATTGCGCTCAACAACCTAGGCTCCCGGTCCTTGAATGACCAAGCTATCATCGGCAAGAGCCTAACCCATACCTTCTACGGCCGCGCCCCCGACTACTCCTACTGGAGTGGTTGTTCCCAGGGCGGTCGACAGGGTCTCATGCTAGCACAGCGCTACCCTATTGCATATGATGGCATCGTCGCTTCGGCCCCGGCCCAATCATGGACCAAATTTGTGTCCGCCCTGTACTACCCCCTGTTGATGCGTCAGTGGCACGGAGTCAACCCGCTGGCCTGCGAGTTGAATTTCCTGACAACCGAGGCCGTCGCCGCCTGTGACGCAAAGGACGGGGTCGTGGACGGGCTGATCTCCAACCTCACGGCGTGCGACTACAGCCCATACACCTCTGTCAACAAGGCCTTTACCTGTAATGCACTGAACAGAACAATGGCGCTCAGTCCCGGCGCCGCGCTCATCGCCGACGCCGCCTGGTCCGGACCACAGACCACAGACGGCGAGCGACTGTGGTATGGGGTGAACCCGGGGGCCGACATCAGCCAGTTCGGGTCGGTGCCTGGCATCAATGCCTCACAGTCCGACATGTGGTTCAACCTGTTCGTAGCCAAGAACGCCAGTTTCGACACTGTGCACATGAGTCCCGAGCTGTATGAGGAGTTCTTCCACCTCGCACCCAGGAATACGCCAGCACCATGAACGCGGCCGACCCAGACCTGACTGCCTTCCGCAAGGCGGGCGGAAAGCTCCTTACTTACCATGCATGGTTCGTCCTCCCTAGCCCTAACTAAGCTCCCCCAATCTTCTAACTTCAACTAACCCAAACCACAGGCCGACGAGAGTATCTCCACCAAGGGAACCGAATTCTACTACAAGTCCGTGCAAGATCAATTCCCAGATGTCCAGGACTTCTATCGCTACTTCGAGTCGCCGGGGCTCGGGCATTGCGCAGGCGGACAAGGCGGCCAGCCGACGACGATTTTCGATGCGCTGAGACGGTGGGTCGAGAACGGCACTGCTCCAGAGACCCTCCCCGTGGAATATGCTAGGCCTGAGGGTGGACCGCTGCATCGTATCGTGTGTCCTTATCCTGCCCAGGCCAAGTATATGGGTGGGGACATCTCGGCGGCTGAGAGCTTCCGTTGTGTTTAAGTATGGGCATAGTTGCTTAAGCTATTGTTACCAATTCGCCAATTTGCCTTGGGCTACTGACTTGTATATGGAGTATATTATGTCGAAAAAACCTATCTTAAGGTGTTATCTAGGTGACTATATACAAAGAGACATGCACCTTCTAAATATAAATACAAAGCTATCTATAAATCTACCTTTTAGATTCCTTCTTCTGTACCATCACCCACATAAAATCGGCATCAAAGTCTGGATCACCCTCCTCTAACTTCCCATCGCCAGCGTGCAATACCTCCACCTGCAAGACATCAAACCCGATTTCTACTAGCAATGCCCGATTCTCATCCACACCATAGCTGCTCCAGAACATTCCATATCCCAGGAACTCGCCATGGATTTCTTCCTCATCGAGGGTCGCCAGATTAAAAACAAAGACACCCCCGGGCTTCAACCAACCATGGATCTTGGCAAGCATGGCCCTGAGCTGCGACCGTGGAAGGTGGAACAGCGTATAGAAGCTGATGATACCATGGAAGCTCGCAGGCTCGAAAGCGAGGGTAGTCATGTTACCCGCAAGCAGCTTAGCCCCTGGACACCGGGCCTTGGCCATCGCGATCTGCTTGGCTGAGATGTCATTTGCGACTACTTGGGCGCCTTGGTCGAGGAGCATTTTCACAATAGGAACTCCGGGCCCACAACCAAGCTCTAGGATAGCGGGTGAGCGTTGTTGTAGCGTGTCTAGCAGCATCTGGGTGTATCTTTCTCGCGGCGACTTCTGGCTCTTGACCCACTGCAGATACCATTCTGTAATGTTGTCGTAGGCGTATTCGACAATCCCTTCCGGCGTGTCAGACATCTTTCCGGAGGAGCAGGGGTAGAGATTGGCAGGAGAAGTGGATATATCGTGGTAGGCGATAGGGGGATGTGTGGAGATTGTTAGTTCAACTATCTAAGAGACGCACTAGCACTAGGCCGAAACAGGAAACCATCAACAGTGACCCGTTTGCATATCATAGTTATGTTTGGAGTAACTACGAGTAGGAGGGTATTGGATAATGTGTAGATTTATATAATTCAAACTACAAGTAACCATAGCTAGTCTAGTTCCTTCTTAATGCCAAACTCGGCAGCAGTCAAACGACTCCATCGATCGAGACTGTGGCCCACTGAATACCACGTAGTAAATCGAATCTATCTCAATGAAGTCAAGATGTGACCAACACCTGTTGCCCCTGTTCTCAGGCATCCGTCATTGGAGTGGAGACGATGATGATCCATAGGGGCCCCGAATCACTTTAGTAGAAGGATGGTTACTCAACTAATTCCTAATCACAACTCTGGATATAGTCAGACGTACTCTATTTATTTGTATAGATGCACATCGAACATTGTAAGATAATCCCAGAATTATATGCCTTTAGACAGAACAAAATAAAGCCAAGGACGGTAGATTGCCTCCTCATCTACCGGATGCAGAATCATTGGCAAATATTTCGTGCGCCATTGTTCTTGTATAGCATCATCGAAGAGTTCTGGATCCAGTCTCACACGTCGCGCTTTACAATACTCCCAGTAAGCAGGATACCATCCAGCCTGGCCCCAGTCAATGATTGTCGCCACCCTCAGATTCGGGCCTGGCGACAAAAGGATGTTAGGGGGGACAAAATCATCATGTGTGAACACAATGGGCACATCCTCACTGATATCGATTCCACATGCGTCTTGAAACTGCTGGACAGCGTTTGCACCTCGGAAAGGCCCACTGATTTCTAGATGGCTCGAAAGAAAGATCTCATTCAATGGTAGCCCACCCAGACTCCCTATGAATTCTTAGTTATGTCTCTCTTGGATATTGCAACTAAGAGAGCTTACCGATATAACGGCTATGGCTGTCTTGCTCCAAGGTCCTCCAGGTCTTCACCATATGTTTCAGTTCCTCACAGACAGACAGTCTCTCAGGTTCATTCATGCCACTCCATCTCTCCTGCAGAGTTTCACCCTCAACCAATGACATATATATAAACACCTGGCTCCCATCCTCAGCCCAGTCAAAAACCTTCGGGATGGGAACTTGATCTTTCAGGCGCTCATGCAACATCATTTGCGTCTGGGCCTCAACGACAGTGACATTCGCTCCGTACTTAACACAAAGACCCAATGATGGAATCTTGACAGGTGGTGGGCGATTAAAACTTATGTAACCTATGCCAGTCTTCTTACTGATTTCTCTAATTTCAGACGGCGTCGGAAGAGAAGTCTGCGGTTTGTCGTCGCAAAAGGTGGAGTGGAAGATCTCCATCGCGTAGCTTTGTCCCCAAGCTAATGTTCAATAACTTGAACTATAGTGTCCGCGATTGGCATCGGGTATAGAAGGGGGGAATGGGACATATGTTCATCAAACAGGTTGAAGAATGTGTTTGGGTAAAAACGATAGGGACAGACTTGTGGGGTTGCCTAGGAACGTGACGCGCTGAATCGACACCAATTTCCATGTATTCAATATAGTTCTCAGAAGCGTCTTGATCTTAGACAGAGTGATAAAAATCAAGATCTAAATTTCTTTGTCAAGTATAGTATAAGAGTAGGTATCGTCCGGCCTTTGGGTAAAATAACACCAAGCAGCGACTCAGCAAGACGTGGATGTATGCAGAAGAAGTAGTATGACTGATCAAATAAGCCCTTCAGGCTTCTACTTTCTGCAAATTCTGGTAGCCATCGAGGAATCTCATTTGGCTGCCGAGAAATGACCAACAGAAAAGTTTGTTCAATAGAAGTTTTGAGATTGTCATTACTCCGTTCATACACTATTTGCAGGACCCCAGGGATCCTGGCATAGGACTCGAGGTGGTAGCGACAATTTTACTCCCTTGCTATCATAGTAACTGCCGTGACCACGGAGAGATGCGATATGAAACCAGATCTTATACTTATTTAACTAGTTCCGAATACGCCGAAAAACCTATGGGTGGTGTTAACATACGTATCAGGAACAGTTGAGATATCAGTGTCAGAGCGATTGATGCTGTTTTGCGCTGTAGCGAAGATATGTGCCAGCAGCCTGGACACGAAAACATTTCCCCCAATACAAAAATAGCAAGTTGCCCATCATGATAGCTGTGACTATGAATTCTGTGGGTTGGTTTCTTCACAGCTAGAAAAATGAGACATATATCGACAGCTCCTATTGTTCAGAAGTCAGGATTCAAACGTGGTTGCCTGCCGCGTATCGATTGGTGCCTACTCCAAGGTCGAGATTAGTTGACTCTATATCGAGTGGGGCAATTCATCGATGGGCTGCCACACTACATGGCCGCTGAGCTTACTCGGATTCAGATTCGTCCACTTCTGTGTCCAATTTGCAATATGAGAGAGTTGCAACGGGCTTGTTTGACCTTCTATGGGGTTGTTTCGATCTCAAGATGGGCTTGGTTTAGAAATCACTTCATTTGCCTTGATTTACTGCTGCGAGATCTACTTTCTGTATCACGTCTTCATATCAACCGGGAACTCCACTGTAGTTTGTATACTGTGCTCGTATTGTTCCTAACAGCATGTAATGTAGAGGGTGATGCTCGAGCGTTCATGAACCCTAATCTGAGCACAGATAGAGTGTGGCGTTCTAAAGTGGGAAGCTTGAAGCGATGGCAGATGAGGGGCCAGTCGACAGGAATACTAGTACTAGTAGATATTAATCATACCAGCGAATGAGATCTATGGTAGGGCCAAACAAGACTAATTGTAGATGCAACGGTTGATAACGAAATACCCTATAGATGGCCGAGGTGGACGGTGTTGAAGACCGCCGGACTGCCGCGGGCACCGAACTACCCCACAAAATCTATACCAGGTGGGTCACTCAGTATGAACGATTCATACAGCTCGCATGAGACTTCTCCATAAGGTATACACATTGGCCTCGAAGCTGGATCCTGGAAAATGGAAACTTAGCTGCAAAAGGAAAAGCTCAGGAGACAGGGAACTGCCTAAATAGCTCGTGGAGGCACCCTATGATTCCTCTCCATTCACAACTGAATTGATTCACTTCCTCTGCAATGACTTCCGTCTTCCGAAATGGTCGCATTCTTGTACCCTCATCGCCCTCGGCGAGGGGTGGTAACGAGTTCGCCGAATGCATGATCATCAAGGATGATCGTATTGCATACGTTGGCTCCCTCGACAATGCACAGATTCCCGCCGATGCGAATCTCATTGATTTGGAGAATCAGGTAGTAATTCCTGGCTTTATCGATGCGCATGTACACATTCTGTCTTATGGCCAGTCGCTGCAAAAGATTGATCTGATTGAATGCACGTCTCTCGAGCAAATTCGTGCAAAGATCAAAGCCTACGCCGACGCTAATCCATCGGTGCCGCAAATCTTTTGTCGAGGATGGATCCAGTCATCCACGCAAGGAATTGCCCTTGCGAGCATGCTCGACGATCTTGATCCGCGCCCAATTTTCATCGATTCCTTCGATCTGCACTCCATGTGGTGCAACTCGGCGGCCCTCGACGGAATGAAGGCCCATACTGCCCCAGATCTTCCTGGTGGCTGCATTCACCGTGATCAGAATGGGCGAGCTTCTGGTCTCTTGGATGAATCGGCCTTGTCGAACCTGGCATGGCCCTATGTGGAGAGCCTCTATTCCAAGGAAGATAAACTGGTTGCGTTGGACGCAGCGGTCCACGCTTACACCGCCGCTGGCTACACCGGCATTGTGGATATGGCTATGGATGAAGGCACTTGGGAGCTTCTGAACGAGTATCGCCGTGAGAAGCATATCCCATTCCACATTGCAGCCCACTGGCTCGTGCCTTATGTCAACGATCAAGAGACCCATTTCCGCACCGTTGATCGCGCGATTACCCTGCGCGAACAGTTCAAGGACAACGATTTCTGCATTGTTGGCATCAAACTCATTTGCGACGGCGTTGTCGATGGATGTACGGCCGCTCTCCTGCAACCATACACCGGAAAGGCCGATCGAGTTGAACCAATCTGGCCTGAAGATCAGCTTCGCGAAGTAGTCCAGCGTGCAGATTCGGCTGGGATCCAGTGCGCCATCCATGCTATTGGCGACCGCGCAATCCATCAAGCCATCGATGTTTTGTCCCAAGTTGGAACACCCGGCCGGAGACACCGAATCGAGCATCTCGAACTAACCACGTCCGAGGACGCGAAGCGCTTGGGTCAACTGGGGATTACAGCCTCCGTTCAGCCGGTTCATTCCGATCCAGCTTTGTTCAAAGCATGGCCTAGCCTTGTCGGACCAGATCGATGCAAGCGCGCATTCGCCTACAAAGAGTTCCTAGATGGGGGCGCACCTCTCGCGGTTGGAACTGATGCCCCCACGGCGCGTCATTTGCCCTTCCCTAACCTCTACAACGCGACAACCAGGCGATCAGCACTCGAGCCTGAGACCATCAACACCGTCAACGCGCATTTCGGCATCAGCTTGGCTGACGCGGCCACCGCTGCGACGGCAGGAGCAGCTTATGCACGCTTTGCCGAGTCATGGACCGGGAGTTTGCAACCGGGACTCCAGGCCGATTTTCTGGTGGTTGGCATGCAGTGGGCACCAGAAACGCTTCTTGAAGCAAAGGTGTGCCAAACTTGGTATCGGGGGAAGAAAATATTCGACGCCAGTCAAGTTTAGCTATACAAGAGCCTCTCATTTTCCAGAGCCAAATAAATCAATTCTGTCTTGTACATAACATACCTGACCCCTCGCCCATTACGTAGAAGGCTGTGTGCATCATGTAAAGAGCGAATCCCAGTAGACAAAAGATGCTTCTCTTTCCATTATGGATTGCGACTTTCATTCTCCACCAGACATAAGCTAACAGGCCCCAAGTATTGTGGCTGCTTCAATTTAAGTAATGATAAATAAAGAATCCATGTTACATCGACTGCATATCTGGAGTATGGAACTTGAGAAATGGGAGCAGTTTATGGATATAATAAGAAGACAGCTCAGACTGGAGCTAGGTAATTCTAGATTACTTCAATATTTATTTTAGATGACTCCGGCTCTGATCTAGTACTAGCACCCTCCAAACACCCAGAGTATTTAGTAAATATATATCTACTTCTGTCTGTTTTTCTATACTCCAGAGTCAATTACTGAGTAAGAAAGCGGCCTCTGAGCTACAAGCCCTATTCCAAAGTTTCTTGTCTATACCGAGGGACAAGTGGTGAAGAATCCTCCTGCAGCGATATACCCGGGCTATCTATACTACATAAGCACTGGTGATAAATACTATCCAAAAAAGTTCTATACCTATAGATATTGTATATCGATGTACCAACAACAAGAGAAAGACAGCTCCGAGACGAGACAGACTTCTTACTTGCAATAAACTTGGATTGTATTTTTATACTGGGCTAACAGGCTCCAATATATATCCAACTAATGTTCAAACCAGCAAAAAACATCTTTCGTGAGTGGTAGCAGGGGGGGCATCTTCATCCAATCCGTCCCATACACCGTATACGTTAAGATCCCGTTTATGAAATTAGACATCCTGAAATCTTCTACTAGATAGCTTCCCAAAAGTGGAATGTTTATGTGGGTACAACCGGTGGGAGTATGAACTGTATGAGCAGATGTTGTCTCGACGACACATTCTGATGCAGCTAGTATCCTTGAGAAGAAGAGAACTGCACAAGCATCCTGGCTCACCGGTCTCTTTCTGCATGCCCAGTATTCTACTCAGGATACCAGAACGGGGGTTGCATAGGGAACAGGGCATTGGAGACGAGCCAAAGCAACGCATAATGCGAGGTATCTTGCTCGTGCGTGGTGATTCGCGAAGCTACATTAGTACTGTGGAGTGTAGATAGGGAGATATCGAAATTAGATGAGACTCTAATTGGAGGGTCTAAAACACCTAGCAGAATCTATTCATTCTTTTCATTGTGATAGTTGCTAAGACTTCCCTTGTATGCGATTGGCAACCAGCGAGGAGAAATTAGGTCAGTGCAGTCTCCAACAAAGATCACTTTGCCAGACTAAATCCTTACCTATACGTTATTATCCTAGTCCGTTGCTTGAAAAGTGAACTTGATTGGTGCAACAATATAGAAAAGTTCCAGGCTAGAAAAGTAGATTGTCTCCGGTCCCTAAATACGAAGCTATACGACGTTGCAGATCCCCCCAAAAATGGGCCACAGCTCTTCTACAGGGACTGGGATAACTGAATTTTCAAGCCAAGGGTGATATTTCGGCTTTGATGCATGGACTAAATTGAGCTCGTGACTGAACCTAGCACATATTGCTTGTTTCACAGCCGAGGCATCGGGGTTTTTCGAGTAGGCTGTTGCTTCGAATAGACCCTCATGTACATGGTCTACATACATATGGTCCAGTATGCTATCCACGTTCAAATTTGCGTCATTAATGCGGGGACAGAAGCAGAGCTAGATTTCAATCCCGGGTCGGTACTTCAGATGATCGGCAGGAGGCCCGTTCCACGCTTACGGAGTAGTGGCCTCTGTAGAATCCACATGCAGCAATTACTCCGGATCCAAACGCGCTGCAAAGTTGATCTACCGTCGTCTGAATCATGTGGGATAATGACCCGCCTTCACAGAAAGATGGTCGACAGCTCGAGCACTAAATCCCATGTGAATCTGTTTTCGAGCCCCAAGGGAGGATAAATACTTCGCCGTCTCCTGCGGGCTGGTTGAGATTCATCTCGATTCGAAACCAACGAAGTACGAAGATGGTACTCAAATATGTACTCATTGCTTTGGCTGTCCTCCCTGGAGGTCTCGGCGATATTCAGCAACTCAATTCGCGCGAGGATGATGCTGCATCGACTGCCTGCAGCAGGCTAAAGGAAAAATATCCTGATATCACGTACTCTAAGCTCCACCCGAGGTACATCAATGCCAATACAGGTGAGGGAGAGTGTTTGCGACTTCGAACAGAAAACCCTCAACTTACCCTTTCCCAGAATACTACACATCCAGTGCCTGGCTGGGGCCAGCCTGTGTCTTTGAGCCCTCGAATAGCACCCAGATGGGCGATGCTGTACAGATCCTCAAGGAAGTTAAATCCCCCTTCGCAATTAGGGGTGGTGGCCATATGCCAATTGCCAATGCGGCGAACATCAATTCGTCCGGCGTTTTGCTTTCCAGCTTCGGCCTTACCCAGCTCAGCCTGTCTGATGACCAGTCTACGGTCAATGTCGGCCCAGGAAACCGATGGTCCAATATCTATGACTATCTTGAGCCCAACGGGCTGACCGTCGTTGGTGGCCGACTCGGTCACGTCGGCGTTCCTGGGTACATCCTCGGTGGCGGGGTCTCCTATTTCAGCAATGAGTATGGTTGGGCCTCCGCGAATGTTGCCAGTATCACGGTGCGTTAGACAGCCTAGTAAATGTTTCGTCATCCATAGGCATTCTCGCTGATCCTTACAAATTAGGTTGTCCTGGCAGACGGAACAGTAGTCCAAGTGACCCCAGAGAATGAGTACTCCGATCTATTCTGGGCATTAAGGGGAGGTTCCAATTCATTCGCCCTTGTGACAAATTTTGAACTGAAAACAATCAAAGCCCCCAAGGTAATGGTTGGCATGGCATCGTATGGATCCGACGTCGCCGAGAAGTTTATCGATGCTGTGCATGCTTTCACTGTGGATGGTTCGAAAGACCCTAAGGCGGCTACGATCCCCTTGGCGGAGTATATCCCGGCCTTAGGAACGGCGAGCTATAGCGCCATTCTCTTCTACAATGGCGAGAATGAGAGCCCTGCTGCTTTGGGGAACTTCCTAGGTTCCGATTTGAACGCCACCAGCAGTACCTTTTCCAGCCGATCCATGAGTGACTGGTCTAAGGAGCTTGATCCAGCCCTATCGCTTGTCAAGGGCAGTAAACAGCGCTTCTATGTGTTGAATATCCACGCCTCCAACAAGCAGGCAATCTCTATTGTTCATGACACTTTCATGGAAGTGGCACGAGAGAGCTTGCCTATTGGGGTATTGGTTGCAGCTTTAGCATTCCCAGCAGTGACCGAGAAATTTATCACTGCATCAACTGTCAACGGCGGAGACCCGCAGGGCTTGGATCTCAATGGCGCGCCATACATCTGGGTGGAAGAGAGCATCACTTCTGCAGCGATCGTCAGCGACGATGATGTCGACGCGTTCTATGAAAAGGCTAATGGTCAAATCGTCAAGAACCTCCAGGCCGCGGGGATCGAACTGGCCAAATTTATCTATCTGAATGATGCGAATCCCTCCCAGGATGTATTTAGCACATTCCCCCCAGAGAACCTTGAGCGACTCAAGAGCATCCGGTCTAAATATGACCCGGACAGAATATTTACCGATCAGATGCCGGGAGGATTCAAGGTCGCGTGACACCGACCTTGGGTCGATAGAAATAGGCTCTGAGGGAGCTGTGTGAGTGGTGGGATTGGGTTAACTGGATACTAAGGACTAAAAGGTCCCCTGGAATTATCATTGGAGTGCATTGCCATTTTCCCACATGCGTGATGTTAGCATGTAGCATGGACGTTGTAGAAAAAGTCGCAGAAGAAAGAAGAAAGAATAAAGAAGAAGAAAGAAAGAATCCAGAAGATCCCAGGGGGGTCTCATGATCGATGCAGCTATGCCTCATCTGGACTGCAGTGTGACCATCCCATTGTGGGCCACGCAAAATATGTGCCCGCGACATGCAGGAATCTAAATGAAACAAAACCACCGCCCATAAATACTTCTTCCCCCCTCCCTTAAGTGGACATTCAACACATGGACTATTCAACGGGTAAAAGTGATATATTAAACCACAGCAACAAAAAAGAATCAAGTCTCTTGACCCACGCGTTCGAGACATGGCACATGCATACACGGACTCAATCATGTGCATCAACGTGTGCGAGAGACGCCAAAAATGCATAAGAACGTCAGCTATTACAAAGGAAGGCTCGTCTCCCATTAACGCACGGTTGATACAGCGCTGGAAGATGAAGAAGGGAAGACAAATCGAATAAACCAAATTCTCCAGACATGCCCGCCTTGGAATAACAATAGAAGAGAAATTAAAGCCATAACCCCATTCCATACCCAAACGTGTCCATTGCAGCCGACTCTGGCCGGTTATATCAAGTCATGAATTGCGGGTCTGGCTATGCTGCCGCTGCTCATCCCCGCTGGAATAGTGGCCTGTCGTGTCCGTTGGAGATGTTGCCGATGACGCAGATTCTATAGGCATCAAGAAGATTTAGCGACAGTTATTCCACCAGACACTCCGGCACACAAGATAACGCCTTACCTGTCGATTGGTATCCCCCATCCCTGGGACCGCTTCCATCCAAGATCACGGACTTTCGTGCTTTCAAGCGTGCTTCGGTCGCGCGAATTTTCGCCTGAAGTTCTTCCAGTTCTCGGCTTTGAATCATCATTTGAAATTTCCTAGAGATAAATTTCTACGGTCAGCCTCCCAGGTTGTTTCAAACTCGGCGCAATTTGGGGGTAAACGGGTGGGGTTCGCAAGGGTTACACGACATACCTCTCATCGACAGTCTGTTCAAGGTGATGGACATCCGAGTCCAGTGCGAAGAGGCTATCCAGTGTGCTTGAGAAGGCCTGTGCCATGGTCCTGTCATGTACCGGTTAATGTCAACGTTCAGGTATCGCACGGAGCGCAA